ACTTAAAAAAGCGCTTAATAACTCGATACAATTTTCCGTCATCCCCTTCTTTTTTACTAGCACACTTAGTTGCTGCTGCTAAATTTCAAATTCATGATGCGGACAAACTTTGGAAAACTTGTTGCCCGTGCTAGTCGACGATTGATCGTTGCCAGTTTTCTCATTGGTGTCATCATTTTTGCAATGTAAGGCAACTAGAATGCTGCCTCAACGTCAACTGTTTTCAAGTAACCGACAATGTCGGATGCATCACCTTTTCACGCTCTGATATGATAAAAACTCCGGCGTCTTTTAATGTTGTGTGCCGATATGTCAGAACCATTGAATAAACGTGAACCGATGAAAACTCTTGATGGTCCTCGGCATTTTCCTTGACAAACGATGATATTTGTAATCTGGTTTGAACGTTTTTCTACGCGGGACTACCATGATGCGATTGAAGAGATTGCGTGCGTCTTAAATCCCCTTCAGAGCGGATTAACAATTAGTGTGTGTTTGAAATGCAAACTAGATGGATCTCAGCTTAAAAGCTTAAGCAATCTCACAGTAATTCAATTTGGCTATCAAACTTTTATCAAATTTAAAAAAACTGTAACTAATTAACCCGGATAAAAAATGAAACTAAACATCTCAAGCACGACATACAATGACTGTTGACTAATGAACTGCAACACAACTGCTACAGGCACACTCTCATACGAACCATTCCACGGGATGACCAACAGTTGAAACTTCTCATCTCAATCGCCAACGATGAGAATAAATCTGTAAGCGGTTCTTTTTCTTATCGTTATGTATTTGCAACGATAACGTTCACCTGCTTTTGATTTCCAATGGCAATTTTACAATCATAAAAGTAATTTTGATTCATAACAAAACAAAAAATTTTGAAGGTAGATTTTTGGCTCTACCCATCGGCAACAAACAAGTGCGTGGATATGCTTCTGGCACCTCACGAGAAGGAGATCATACTGGCCTTGCTGCAGAAGAATGATGTGTCCGTCAGCATTCTCCAACAGGACCTACAAAAGTATTTTGTTTTGAAAAAAAATCTTTTTAACTTGGTACCAATGCATTTAACGTGCATGAAATCAGTCAAAAGTTTTAGTTTGAATGAAAATCAACAAAAGAAATTGCTTGCCATTCCATTTGTCATTCCATTCGAGTATCCAAATGTCTTCAATAATTTTCGTCAGTTTTACATTTGTGGTAGTATGTATTTTGTGCTTGTGTGTACGTGCGTGCGTTTATGTGTGTGTCTGTGCGTGTCTCTGGCTGTATCTGTGTGCGTTCCCTTTATAAGTGTGTTTATGTATTTTACTTAGGGATAAGTGTAGCTGGCGTATCTTTAAAACGTTTGAAGATCGATTCTGAATATGAAATAAGAATTTAAATTCTTAAACGAGCATAATACAATGCAAAGTTCAACGCTTTCATTGCCACGGAGCAGTTTTAATGTGATTCAGTGCACAATCGTCAAATTTTTAAATTTTTTCTTTGACTTTTTGTTTACAAAAAAAAACTAGCAATATGTCCTTTAACTTTTAAATGTGTATATTATTTGTTGAACATTCTATGGATGATGGAGTCCAATAATTATTTATAGATGAGTGCCTGGTGGTTAATTAATAGCGAAGTTACCGCTACTTTTTAATTATCATCGATAGCTGAAGCGACACTGCTTTTATTGAACATTAACAAAATTTAAATGAAATTTTTACCTACTTTTTCTATTTGAAAGCTATTTTTCATTTAGATCTTGCATGAGGCAAAGTATATTAATGATATTTACAATTAGGTGATGTAATCTGTTATTAGATAATATTATTTTGTTTCTATAACTGTTCAATGCTTCTATTTCCACGTTTAAATTGTCGCTTCAAAACTTGAAAATTTGTTGTTTTGTTACTTTCTCTTGAAGATCTTTTTATTGCTGAGAGGAAAAATCGTAATTTCGTTAACTGAAGTTTATGCATTCACCTTGTGATTGAATAAATTTGGAAACATGCATTTCTATACATTTGTAATGTTCTAGTGTAATTTCAATAGTCGTTCATTGGTTGTAAACCATTGCTAGGTTCAAGTTAATATTTAAAATGCAGCGACTTTGTTCATTTGGATCTTGAAGAAATACATTTTTCTAAAGATCTATCGCTTCAAGATTCTTAATTTTTAAAATTTAATTTATAATATTTCGAAATAGTATTGGCATAAAAAGTAGCTGGTAGTAGTGTTAGAATAGTGACTATTTTTTACTTATCTACGTAATTGAGTTGTGATGGTAACCAGGGTCGGACTGGCTTAAAAACCTGCCTGGGAAATTTGATCAGGGCGGTCCACATTACCACTATTTTCAATTTAATTCAATTTCTATATATATATATTTGTTTTATGATTATTTCATGCATAATAATGAAATTTTAAACTTCAAAAACATCACTTGAATTCGTACATGAACGATTTTTGATCATTACACTTTAAAATTTGTAATTATGCAACGAAAAAACTTTAAACAGTTGAATCTAACCACTTGAACATAAAAATACTACAGTCTAAAATTTCTCTCTTATTAACTGCTGTAAGAGCATTTCCATCGTTTCACTAGTCGATGCTGAAACATCAATGATTTCACTGTTGTTCATGTTTTGGAGAAGGTCCTTCACGTAAGACATCGGCATAAATTGTTGTAAAATTGACTGGCTCAGCGAATTTCTTAATTGGTTTAAAATTTATTTCAATTTTAAAAACGACCTCTTGCAAACAACTTGTGAGGGATAATGTCAAAACAATTTGTAAGCCAAATACAAATTTGAATAAACAAAGCAATGCAAATAGAATGTTTGGAGAACAAAATAGCAACAAACAATACATTTTCTGGAAGATTTGCATTCATACTTGTGACAGTTGCTGTTTTCAACTGATGAGATTGTGTACATATTTTCAAGTAATTCTACTGATTCAGATTGTTAAATGTTCTCCACTTCCATTTGAAAGATCGAATTATACTCAACTTTGAAAGTTGTTTGAACATTTTCCTATTTCCTTGCAAAATTCAATAACAATTCAAGTTTTTTGTTACAAGTGAGTTTTTGTTACAATAACATCAATTTTTTGAGCAACCCATTTAAGACAAATCAGTGTAAAGACTACCATGCTAAGAGAATCTTTGATGAAACAATTAATTACTTGATCTACAACCATGTTGTGAACAAGGACCCAAAATTTTTCTTTCACACATTCAAGCGGTTAGTTGGCTATAATTCTCCTACCCTTCAAAACAGTCTGCACTTCAATGTCGAGATTTTTTTTATCTGCTTCACTAATTGCAAATTTTGAAAAATTTGTAGCTGCTCGAAAAAGTGAATCAAAATTTTGCATTAAAATTAATATGCCATAGGTTATAACCACTGACCTCGGATACTTATTATGTAAATATATTTAGACAACTTATATATTGAATATGCTGTTTCAGCTTTTTTATATTCAATGAAAGCTATTATTTGAAGCTGTCATATAATTAAAGACAGTTTCTTCTATAACTAAAATTGTAATAACTTCTTTTGGTAGTTGGCAGTTCAAGTCCCTAATCCAAGTCCAAGCCTGATGGTGACACTACGTTTGATGAGTTGCATTAACCTGGCGGCATGAGACTTTTTACTTCTCAATATCTATTCAATATAAATCTGAGAATAAAATTCAAAATTGCGTTTCTTCTTCATAGGGCGATGTATCAATTATGGATTTCGATAGTCTATAAACATGCATTACCCCTTAAAAACAAAAAAAGTTTGCGTTTTTTCTCTCAAAAGTTTTGTCGTTTTTTATTCGTTATTTAATATTTATAAAAAATAAATAGCTTAATTTAAAATTAAACAATGTTAAAAGTTGTTTTGAAAAATTTTAGATTTTTTGAATAAAAATGTTTGCATAGAAATTTTGGACCGGGTCGGTGGGGCGCGATACGAAAATTGTTGTAAAGCATTGACAGACAGACATGCAGATCTGAGGGCTTCCGACGATTTCTCCAATCAAATGGGGCCGCAAAGATTTCGTTTGTTGCATGCATAAAAATTTTTAAACGCAATTTTTACATACATGAAGCCTGCTGGACAAAGAAATTGAAACGAGGGAGAAGCGAACGTCTGCGGAGCGTGCAGATGGATCAAACATCGATCAAGTTCCGCCTGCAAATCAGACCATCGACGACGAAGCCACACTTCGAAACAAAAGATCATTACCAGCATTACTGGGATTTGATTCCGTTGAGCTTCGAAAGTACCCGGATATTAAAACTGTACGTGGCATCATTCGTCCTTATCGTTGTTCAAGCATTAACTTTAAAATATTAAATAAAACGCATACACACATAAAACTCGTATGTGAATAAAAATTTAAACATAGATAATGAACTGGTTGTCGGCACTGCCGAAACGTTGCAGCTTTTGTAGCGTCTTCTCGATCGGCAAATCAACAGAGCACAGGGATATCATGGTGGTCAAGGTGAGAACAAGTTTGATGACTGACTCGTTAAGTGCAAACACTTATTCAAAGATACAACTCAAATAAACTGTGGCGGATCTAGGAGGGGACAAGTGCCCTCCCTTAGTTGCAAGCAGTATTTTTAATAAAAGTTATTAAAAATCATTGCTGTGACAAATGAAGCACTCTTTTTCAATAATGGACGTAACAAACTAAAGGTCGTCAGCCACACTACCACAAATGTTGGCCGCCCTTCAAACTTTTGGCTCTCCTCCGTGAAAATTTCAACTTTTTCAAAATTGTGCCCCTCCTCCGTGAAAATTGTCCAGATTCGCCACCTCAAACTAACATTTAATAAGCCTGTTATTTATACATTTATTCAAGAAAATTTAAAAAAATAGTATAAATGGTTTAAATGTAACTTGACGGCACTAAAAAATTTCAATTCAAACACCAATATAAACGACACACGGCTTCTTGAATGCCTCAAACAGATCAGCCAAATATCCCAGCGAGAGGAAGACAGGCCAGTCATCTTCATCGATGCAGGCTTCCACGCCAGAGAATGGATTGCTCCGGTCACCGCCATCAACTTCATATCGAAAGTATTTATATCCGAATATCACAAATTTGTTTGGAGTCTGTTTCTTAATCTACTTTAACATAGCAATGTTGTACTCTTTATGTCAAACCGCTACCGTATCGTCGTTTATGTAGGATAAAGGGTAAGAATTTTACGTGTACAACTGTTTACAAATTTTAGATGTTTAAATGCTTATTTCAGTTTAGCATTTTATTATTTTACTTATTCAATTTAGATACTAAATTAATGCAATAGAATTATAAAAATGTTAGACCGAAATAATAAATACTTGTATAATATTACGTTGTTATGCTGATAATACCGCAGCGAATTTATCGAATACTGACAATTGTTTTTAAGGGCCAACCCATCAGTTGTATCCTTAACTACAAACGTTCAAAGTTATTTAATTTTCAGAATCTGTTTTTAAACGATTTGAAAACGTTGCGAAACCGATCTGAGAGGCTCCTCCCACCACGCAAACAAAACCTCATAAACTTTCAAACCACAAAAACTTATTTCGGCAGTTAGTGAACACATCTGATCCCGTCATGAACTTTTTGACTCTCCAATACGAGTTCTACATCCTCCCATTGGCTAATCCCGACGGCTATGAGTACTCGTGGATCAAAGTAAGTGGATAGAACATTTGCCATTTCAATGTGATAGTGTATGCATATGTACATACAAACACACACACACACACACACACACACACACACACATATATATATATATATATAGTTTCCAAAATAAACTAAAAATTTGATTTTTTACTGCCATATACTTTAAAAAGATATCAGGTTGTCCATTATTATTATTATTGATGTGTTTGTTTTGTAAGCGCCCTTGAAAAAGATCTCAGAGGCGCTAACGATTATTTCTACGAAATTGAATAACAGACAACTTATGATCCCGAAAGTCCCTAGGCAAACCATTCCATACAGCAGGACTCATTAATGATATTCCTTCGACCAAAAGCCAAGTTTGTGTCATGTACAAACAGTAAACCTGAATTGTCAGAGTGCAATGTTTGACTCAGCGTGGCATTGTTATAAGAATGACTCCGTCAGTTAAATATTTAGAGGCGAATTCCTTGATAAATTTAAAAACTCCCTGATGAACCAGAAGCCAGTGAAGAGCAAATGGATTAGCTTAACATGGTCGTATTTAAGGCCGCCTGAAACCAACCTTGCAGCCCAATTTTGGACCGATTGCAATCTAGCGCCATATGCGATATGGCTCATTTAAAAAAATATATCTAGTCATATGCGATAGTCTATTTTTGAATGATAACTCTTGATACATATATCAATGTATAGCATGTCAGGATTCATTAGTTCATCATTGTAAACAGACATTGCATGCAGTGGCAGATTTAACAGAGACGTTTTGGATCAATAACAAACAAAATACTCGCACCGGCAGCATGTTTACAGAAGTGACTAACACGCCGTTGTCGTTTTGTTTGAACGCAGCCCATCCACTGGTCTAAAAAATTGAATATGTCACAGTTTTGAATTTATTTTTAATTTTTTAACCATATATTCTGAACCACTGATACATTTGAACGTGAGAATAGCTGTTTTGAAGATTATTCTCTCATTGATTTTTAACCAATAAAAATCAAGTACAGGACTGACATTGTCGAATTTCAACTCATTCGAGACCAGCTTTCTTTTATATTTGAAGTTGATTGTAACCTAGTGAATTTACTTGATAACCCAATGGAAATAGACACACACACCACACATACACACATACATACATACATCATTCTTTCATCTTACAGAACGTTTATTTAGCAGAATACAATAAACATTGAATTTCCCGTATTAAAACAGATACTAATTTATATGTTTCCTTAATACCCATTTTTTATTAAAATTATTATTTGCTTTTATTCATGGTTATTTTTTCTGTTTTAATTACTGATTTTCGTTAATTATGTTGAGGTCTTTCTGTATGGTTTAAATGTTACATGCATTCAATTGAATGCACGAATTTGTACATCTTTTTATACCGGTTTATTTTTTTTTATTTAAATCCTTTGTGAATGTGCGTGTATACATGCAAGTAAATATTAATTCACATCATTACCATTGTTGTAATTACTATTATTATTATCGCTGTGTTTTTTCTTATTTTTTATCCACGACATTTTTATTTCAAATATTTTGCTAGCTTGTGTCCAATGAAGGATCGCAACTATTCAAATATTTCGTACAATTTGTAATCTGATTTTTCATTTTTATTATTATCATTTGTTATTTTTTATATAATTATTAATTTTTATTTATTTGAAGAACGCTTAGGCACTTGATATTCGGCAATCACGTCTCCAGCATCAAGTAATTATCACAGCGAAGACAATTTCTTGGTATAAATATGGAACCATATTACAAACCCGTAATTGCGTTCCTTAATCCATCCAAAAGACATCATTGGCTCCTAATATAATCGCGCAATAATTATAAAACTGCTCTTCAGCTCCAAAATTTTAAATTTTAGTTCACCGTCAATTTTATCAATCACAGTTCCTTACAGGAGCATAATAAAACCATCCACAACTTGTTATCCTATTTTCTTAATATTTTAATTGACAAATTACGGTTCGGCATTCAGGTTTAAGAGTATGAAATGCCTCGCCAACGAAAGTTTTTTGTTTTCAAATGCAGACTGGGCGCTTTTTTATGTAACTGTTTAGCGCTTAAAAATTGTTGTATTACACCATAAAGACATAACCTGCGTAGAGCAAGACCTTAATGAGATAAAATTACGGACTGGCCTAAGTTAATAACAGAAGTAAAAACAAAAAGATTACCTGTGTTTCCGCTTCTATCAATTTTACGTAATTTCTTTCTTCCAATAAGAAAAACTGGTGGTTATCGGGTGAGAGGTGATACGTCCCGACACGACGTTGCGAGTAAATTTTGAGGGCATTACACAAAACGTAATATTGAAACAAAAATTTATAATAGCAGCCAATCATCACATGCCTTAACAAGCACATTTATACATTTTGATTATTGGGTAAAAAAATAAACTAATTGAAAACTAATTAAAAGACGTTTGGATGAGGCATAGATAGCGCATTTTTATGTAGAGACAAAATTATATGTGAGATATCTTATGGTATTTCTTAATTATTAAAATTATATATTAAGGACAGGTTGTGGCGGAAAACAAGATCAAGGTATGATGATTCGACCATTTGCCTTGGAACTGATCTAAACAGAAATTGGGATTTTTTCTGGGCCGGTAAATTCATCTTGTAAAAAAATGAATAATGAATACAATATTGTACTGCCTATAAAAAATTTAAGTTTTTCATAAATTAGAAAAATGGGTATCATCACTACTACCGTTTATATTTTAGGTGAAGGCACCAGCAAAAATGTGTGCAGAGAAAATTATTGTGGCCCAAATGCTTTTTCTGAACCAGAGGCAAGAGCAATCGCTTCATTCATACTCAGCAAATCGGCTAACATGATAGTTTATCTAAGCTTTCACTCATATGGACAACTTTTTCTAGCTCCTTGGGGCTACACAACCAAAGTTCCAGCGGATTTTTATGATATGGTTAGTTTGCAACGTTTACTCTTTTCATGTCATAAGAAACATTTCCGTATTTACAAATTTAATTTAATAAGCTCATAAAAGGAACAGAAGCCATTGAAGCTATAAGAAAAACGACAGGAGCAAAATACAACGTTGGGTCAACTGGGCGGATACTGTGTAAGCGCTTTTACTTTTCAATAAAAGCATTATTAGACATGATGACGGTAATCGGTAACAAATGATTGCTAATAAATTTTTATAAGCCTTGAGACGTTTAACCGATTTGCTATTTAGACTTAGCCTCGGGAGCATCGGATGACTGGGTCAAAGGTGTAGCAGGCGTCAAATATTCCTACACCTTGGAACTGCGAGATACGGGAACACATGGTTTTCTCTTACCGGAAAGTGAAATTCAGGAGACAGCTCTGGAAATAACAAACGCAATAGCGAAATTAGGTTTGGATGTGCTAATGGAGCTAAAAACTTCAGAAGAAGCCAACCAAGACAACCTAGAATACAAAAAAATACTTCAACAAAATCATGAACTGCAGAAATTAATGAACCAAAAAAAAGAGCGCAGCTTTTTTTCAGTTGATTTGGGTAATGAGGTGCCTAATTTAACGGTAGCGTCTAATTCATCAGAATTATACGAAACTAACCCAGTTACAAAGATTGCACCAATGGACAATAATCTGAACACAAGCAAGTCAATGTCAAAGGTTAATTCAAGTGATACAAACCCAGTAACATCAAATCCAAATTTTTTCAATACGACACCATTATTGGATACAACCATTTCTAAGTCTCCGTCAGAAACTAAAATGAAAGTCAGCGAAAGCGAAAAAGACCAAAAGAAAAAAGGGCGAGGGTTGAACAAGACAACCGAAAATTTCAAAATGAGAGAAATAAATAACAATGAAATTATAAACATGAGATCGAACGACTTGGTTGAGACAGATGAAGAACTGGACGCGTCTTCCTTTGCCGCCAGAAGAGGTCGTGATAAGCTCAATTTATTGAGAAAATTGGCTGAGTCAGCAAAAGAATTCGAAACAAAATTAAAAGCAATTGAACAACTGAGAATAAAACACTACGAACAAACACGTTTACAAAAACTGAGGAGAGAAGTATTAGTTAGAGAATTCAAAGAAAAATGGAAGCAGCAAAGAGACAAATATAGGCAGTTTAAACAAAGACAGTTTCTTAAACAATCGCTTATCGAAAAAGCCAAAGCGTCAAAAGATTTTAAAAAGCGATTTTTTAGAATGATAAATCTTCTCGAAGAATCAAACAATCAAAATTAAGTAAAGGCCAAACTCCCTATATATAGGCTTTCGTTTAATTGGCGTTTGACATGAAAAAATTAATAATTTAATTTAATAATTAATTTCCAAAATGATCCATTAAATATATGTTGACATGCATGACTTAAGTTTTCAAGCATATCATCAAATTATTAAAAAATTGGACTAGTGCTTTCAAGGTATAAACATAGGGTACATAATTATAAGCAGTTAGTTTAGTTGTTACATTTGTTAAGTGGTGTGTGTTATTTAATGGCTATTAAGCAATAACTGATTATATGATTGTTCATTGAAAAATCAAATATGCAGTGAAAAATTGTGTATTCAATTAAATTTTTCACAAAATAAAAATGATTAAGAATTACAAAATTTGAAAAAAAGAAAACAAAAAAATAAATTAATGCAAATAAGATTAACAACAACAAGAACAAGTGATTCCGAGATTCAGAGCATGCCGTATTTTGTAGCAGCGCAAACTTTTCAATTTAAGTCATCAAAACCTAAAGCATTACAATTGCTTCAAACACATATATGTATGTATGTATACATACAAAACATACATACATACATACAAACGTTTACCATGGGTGTGGACTGGAGAAAGCTAACAAATGACTACTACCTTAATCTCATTTAATAAAACATGAACGTTAGCCGTGAATTGTAGACGTGAAATGTAGTCTGAGTGATTTTTACTTAAAAAAATAAACTTGATTTGTTTGGAAAGTATGCTAGGACTTATTATGCACATACCGCTCTAAAGATTTATCTTCTAAGGCACTACATTCTTTGTCAATTAAGTTGTAATAACTGGTAGAAAACATAAGAGGAATATCGAATGATCAATAAATAAATAATGAAAATGCATATTGATGAGTAGGCTTATGATTTGGAAACTTTGTTAAATTTGTACTTTTCGAATTTATATGAATAAATAAAATAAGTAAATAAATAAAATAAATATAACAGTCAGTGATTATTTTGAGAAAATGAAAATACTGAACATTCCACGAAGCCATGACAAAAAACCATATTATGAACTAGAGAGAGGACTGAAAATATTTTGAAAGGAAATGAAAAAATTATATTTCTGAAATTTTTGAAAAATGAAAAAATATTAACTGCGAAGCAAAAATAAATTAATCACACTCAAAGTAACATGACGATGAAATATCATAATCAAAATATGCAATCATCATATGAAACTTTATCATAAATATCATGTTATAAGCCCAACAACGATAAAACAATATTTTATTTACTTGTTGTTAAATTTTGAGATCTAACATGAAAGCAATGATCGATTCAAACAATATAATTAACTGCTTAATCAAATAACAAAAATAAATTAATAAATCATTTGAAAAATCCTTAATCTCAAATTTTCAACCTTTTGACGCCAGCAATATGTGTTATTAATTCTCTGGCCCGTCAAGATGCATATATCAAGTTAATAACAAACAATTTAACAATTATCTCCAGGAGGAGCTTTCTAAACTTGCTAGATTATATTATCAATTAACCGAATAAAAGACCAATAATTAAGTAATAACTTGGCTACTTATTCTATTGGTTAACTCGACTTTTTGTGACTATTTTAAGAGAAGAGACGCCATGTTTGTGTGGATCCGTTTGGTGGTGAGCGGATGACGCCTTCACCGAAATTCCAGTAGCACCATGAGGATGTTGTTGTTGCTGCTGCTTAGTACTTCTAACGACAATGGTAGGTCCACGCGGTTGGGTTATTTGTTGTTGAACGTGTTGTTGTTGAGGGGGAGAAGCTTGAAGCAGCTGTTGATGTTGTGGCGCAATATACTGCTGCTCAGGTGGTGATTGCTGGAGAAGCTGCTTCTGAGAAGGTTCAACGGCCGTCGCTGGCGAGGGAGATGAAGGTTTGATAGAGGAGGCCGGGATAGGGATGGATATAGGAGAAGGTTTACTTTCCAAAAGTTGTTCCTCTCCACTGGATACAGACTTTCCAGTCTTCAACTCCAGTTGCTTCTGGATGTATTGAAAACTATCGATGCCCATGTAATCTATCTGGCCCTTCTCCCAGTCTTGACGTCTCTTCTGGTCGTCCAGCTGCTCTTGCGAGTACCCACTGCCAACATGCTCAACAGAACCAACCTTACCCTTTTCAATGGCCAGGTGAGCAAACTGTTGTTAGAAATGTTCAAGTTGGTTGTTAGAAATATATACAAAAAGTTATTTTAAGCATTAAATTTTCAAAGTGAAAAGCGCAAATAGATTAAACTTTAGAGTAAATAGTAATAAATAATATTAATAAGATTAAACATGAAAAAATAACATTCGTATAAATCGAAGATTAGCAAAAACATGAACACAAATTTGAAAAGCAGTAAGCAAGTGTTAAAATGAAATGAAATGGGTTATGCAAAAGCATTTGAATCGGCCATGCAGTCAAAGTAGATTGGTTTAAAAAAGTGCACGGTAGTTTTCAACAAATACAAGTGCAACAGGTTGTTGATTTTTTTTGTTTTTTTTTATAAATTATAAAGAGTTTTGTATCGTTTACATTATTACACATTGACATTTCATCACGCATTAATACAAATCTCAATATTTGAAAGATTAACAGCTCCGTACGATAAGCCGAAGCAAAATTAATTTTGATTAGATGCAACCAATCAAAAGAGGTAAACTCAGAACAATGTTGAATAATGTTATGAGCAGGTTTCTAGAGATAAGAAATATAGCTGAGTATATGTGCTGATGAATGGATATATGTCGTAATGAATGAATGAATGGGTGTATGAATGAATGAATGAATGAATGAATGAATGAATGAATGAATGAATGAATGAATGAATGAATGAATGAATGAATGAATGAATGAATGAATGAATGAATGAATGAATGAATGAATGAGTGGTGGAGAAAAGTTTGAGATCGTGGCATAGAAGAAAGATGGAAAGATGTGAGAAATACTAAAAGTTTAAGTAAAACTGACGCTAGCAAATCTTTAAGTAAAACTAGAGGGTTTGAAAAGTACAAATAAGAATAAATCAAGACGAATGTGAAAAAAAAAGAATTAATAAAAATAGCTCCGGATGGATCTAGTGAACCACCCAAACTGCATCAGGATGAAATGTATCTAATAAATCTCAATCTGATTCAATATGAATCCTCCACTAATTTTGGCGCCATTTGTCATTGACATTTTAATAAGATTGTCATATTTGTTATTAGTAGGAAGATTTAAAAATAAATGTATAACTCTATATTTAATTTTATTTGATATTATTAATGAACCAGTTTTACGTATTGAACAATAAAACCACATTTCTCTATTTTGATGTTTATTAATAATATCTTCGTTAGTAGAAACAAGCTGGTAATTGAGAGGCAAAATTAGTTAAAAAAAACGTTTAAATATTTGATGAAAAAATAAATTCAACAGCAACAATGATTTTGTGACAAATTCTTAAAAAATAAATAAACTAAAATAATTAAAAAAAAACAAAATTTGATTGTTTTTTATGCTGGCAAAGTTAGAATTCCAAAATTAATAAAACTGTTAAAAATTAGAAAAAACAAAATAAAAATTTTACAACAGATTATGCAAAACTAATCCATAACACAATTGAATATCAATGTGGAATTGGTAATTGTTAGTTCAAGTGGTAATTCAAGGAACAAGTTAACATATATATATATATATATAAGCGAATGCAATAGCAATCAAATTTTTTGAAAATCATTTTCCAATAACTGCAGAAAAACAACCAAAAAATATAATTAATAATTAATTGTGTTAATGGATTGCAACAAGTTCTTCATAAGCTAAAACTTTCAAGATAGCAGGGAAACAACTCCACTCCAATATATTTATTTACATCTTGCATTGCTGGCAGATCTTCATATTAGTACTTACTTCTTACTCTTCTTACGATCTTTCTGTTCACTATTCGCAGTATCTGTTTTTATATCGATTGATGTAACTCCAGACAGCAGAGTTTGGGTTGAAAGGGCAGACGATGCAATGGACATCGACGTTGGGCTTGTCGCGCTGGTAGCCTCAGGAGATGATGCTGTGGCTTTTCCACTGTCCTTGTCATCTTTTTTCTCGATGCTGAATGTTTTTTTAACTGAGGAAAGAAATTTTTGGAAACCTGTCAAAGGTGGAGAAGATGCAGGCGATGTTGTTGGATCTAATTTGGAGGATGCAAATGAAACCTCAGCGATCAGGGATTTTTTACGACTGCTCATTATAACCTGCTCCAAGTCAACATCAGATAATTTGATTGGTTCATGATCTGGCAATAATATTATACCAGTATAATTATCTGTAGATTTGTTCAATTCTTTTCCTGGTCCCAAATCAAAAAACTCTTTATATACTACATCAACCACTGACAAATTATTTTCCTTCTCTAATGAATAATTTTCAGGTTTACAAGTTGTTTTTTCAGGCACATTGGAAACGCATTCCTTAGATGTATCGCTAAATGCAATAGCATCAAAAACTTCTTTCGTTTCAACGGTTGTGGTTGTAGTGCTCGTTGTGGTGACCACAACTTTCAGAGGTTGAGAGGAATCCTTGCACGCAATCCCATGTTGTTGTTGTTGCTGCTGATAAAAATCGCTTGTGGCATGTTGCTTTCTGTCGGCGTCTTTAAATGCGTTGACATCCTTTTGCAGAAGTTTTGAACCATCAAACGGTGAGGTTGAAGTAGCACTGATATGGTAAGGTTTATCAGAAGATGGTGCTTGTTGCTGGTGCCACTGTTGTTGGTCTGCACCTGAATGCCACATGGCACCTTTTGCAACAGGATCAGAGGTAGAACCTGCATGTGTTGAGGTGCCACCCGATGCTGAAGTCATAACGAAGCTTTCCAATGTTGTATTTGTAGTGGAAGTAGTGGCGATTGCAGTCGTCACAATAACTTTATGGATTTGAGCAGCCGAAGAACTTTTATATTCTTGAGGAACATAAGCATACGAATGACTTCCAGAACTTGAAACTGGTCTTAAGACTTCGTGAGTTATAGTAGTCGTTTTTTCAACCGGACTATAGTGAATTTCAGTAATGTTATCCCCAACCTTTTTATCAGCCAGAGCACTTTTTTCCACATTTAAAACTGATCCTTGTTGTTGAATTTGATCTTTTAATTGTTGTTGCTTTTGTTGTAATTGTTGTCGTTGCTGCTGCAGTTGCTTCTCCTGCAAAAACTGTCTCTGAAGTTTTTTTTCTTGAATTTGAAAATCCAACTGACGCTGCTTGGCTTCTAAATCTTCTAACTGTTGCATACACTGTTGTAAAACTTGTTGTTCAATTAGACGTTGTTGATCAGTTTTGTTCTTTTCTTGCAACTGAGTTTCCTGTTTAGTAAACTCGGGTTTTTCAATGGAATATTCTTCAAAATGAGAAACCCTGGTAGCACTGACAGGGAACAAATGAGGAACGGCCTCTTCTTTGCTTTTAGATGATGATGATGTAATTGTTTTGTATTCAACTCTTGAAATGTCATGTTTCGAAACTGGTTGCTCTCCTATAATTTTTCCAGATTCATCAGTAATATAAGTATGAACTTCTTCCCATTCCTCCACATATTCAACATCTTCATCATCACTCTCCGCTGTTTCTTTTTCCTCTTTTTGTTTTTCTTCATAATCGGATGTAGTTAAACTCGCAAATGGATAATCACCTTTTTTTTCATACGGTGCTACAGAAGATCCAATGGCAAACGTTCCTGGCTTCTCTGGTCTGTCAGTTAATTTTGAAGTGTGAACAGTTTCGGTTATCTCAACTCTTGGTATTTTTTCACCAGCCTCTGGTTTGTCAGCTCTCATTGTGCTGTTAATGAAGTCTAACTCTTCGACGGAAAATAGTTTTTTATCATATTCCTCTTGTTTATCAACATCAATTGTCGGTAATTTTTTGACTGCAGTTTTATCACCTTCATCATCAATTGCTTCAGTGATGAGTCTACCTGGAATGTCCCCCCTAGTTCTTATTGTATAACGTCCATAACTTCGAAACTCAATGTCGTCCTCACGCGGTTGTACAATGGATAATTCACTCAGCGCATGAGATTTAGAAATACTCTCACCTACAGCATTAGGTTCAAATCTAGAAACTGAAGACTGGATTTTAAAAGTTCCAGAATGTCTATCTTTAGGTTTTTCTTGCAAAGATTCAACATGGTGTTTGATATCTGAAATATCTCGAGGGGTCCCTTGGATCAATGATTTTTTATGGTATGTTTCGCTTTTTTCAATGGAATGCATACTTGTGGAAGGATCTGTTTCAATTAAAATTGGAAAATCTGATGGCAATTTCCAAATAGTTTCTGGTTCAGTTCCACGTTTTATAACACAAGGTTTTTCAACTTCAATAGAAGGTTTCACAGTTTTAATGGAAAATTTCTCACTTTCAATAGGTTTTTCAAATTTCTGAATATGACAATGTTGCTCTAATTTAATATCATCTTTATTGATTCCTTCAAAACATTTTTCGGTTTTAGAATCCGTGGAGATAATTGATTTAGAAACAGTTTCATCGACCTTCCCAGGTTTAACATGAGGAACAGAGGACTGAATTTTGAAGCTTCCTGCTTGTCTCACTGATGGCTCACTCCCCTTTTCAATCATCCTGCCAACTGGAGAAAAAAATTCAGTTGGTTTTTGTAAAACTGTAACCCTATCCACTGGTTTATCAAACATTTCTGAAACTAAGGGTTTCTCTTGAACAGAAGAGGCAACACGATCATCTACGAATATCAAATTTTCTTGTCCATGGTCTTGCAACTGGGGGACACGATATTCAGTCGAAATTAAAGTTTTTAATACTGAATCTGCAGATGCACCAGATTTCACCACAGGAGTAGAAGATTGGATTGGTAAATTTTCGACTACTTTTTTTTTATAAGCTTCAGTGGCTTCATGAGTAACAAAAGTCTTTTCTTTAGGACAAGTTGGAACCTCTGTTTCGATAGCATAAATTTGATCGTTTGACGAAGTAATTAACACATTTCTTTGTTCTGAAATGTTATCATCTGATTTTTTATCATACTGTCGACCAAGTAATATATCTTTAACTATATCTTTATCCTTTTTGCTATCTAAATGAATTCCAGTTTCAAGAACTTTCTCTTCTGGCGCCACCTCTCTTTCAGCAGTGAAGTCTCTAGAACACTCAACCTTACTGTCCTTCATTTGCGCAACATGTGGAAGTAGAACACTACTGTCAGGTTTAAAAGTTGATTTTTCTGTTATTATTATATCCTTTGGATGAAACTGAATAGGTTGCCTAGATTCTTGTACTTCGTGAGGATTATATTTTGTATATTCTGGCAAAACTTCAGTCTCTTTAAATGACGAACGAAAAACAAGTTCATCAGTTTTTTCTTCCTGTTGACTTCTTCTTAGTTGTGGTAACTGAAAACCCTCTACTTCCAAATCAGTTTGTTTCTGTCTAGGTCTTACAACTTTTTGCACCTCCATCTCGTCACCCCTCTCAACAACACATTGAGGAGTTTGTATTTCCTCACTGGAAAGTTGTTTTGAGCGATTTTCTGGCTCAACCATTTTTGTTGCATTAAGAGAAGTTTCAGTTACAAAATAATCTTTTACTTTTGAAAACATTTTTTCCAATTCATCTTGAATATCAAGTAATCTACCAGAAGCAGGACCTTTTTGTGACGTATCTTGATCACTAACTTTATCTTTGTTATCTGTTTCTATATGAACTTGGATATCAGAATTTTTCGCAATTAATGACGTTGAAGTTAATTCAGTTGGAGAGACTGGAGTACCAAAAGTGGTAGGACTGAATGCTTGAGTTGTCAATACCTTGGAAGGCATCACAGGCCTCGGAAAAGATGATAAAGTTGCCCCAAAATAGGGAGTTTTAGGAGTTGTTTTTTTAGTTCTTGAATCAAGTCTTTTTTGAATATTTTCAAAACTATCTCGACCCATATAATCAGCATTTCCAGACTCCCATTCTTGTTTATGTAAAAAATCACTCTGTAGTGGCTTAGTGATAGAAACTGGTTGGATGGGCTTACTAGCAGAAATTTTCGTTAGAGGTACTTGTTCTCTCTTAACAAGAGTTGAAGTTGGAGATTGTGGAACATTTGATTGTTGGTGAAGTTGTTGTGGTGGATAGATGCTTAAAACCTGAACTGCTTGCTGTTGTGATACGTATGTATTAACGACTTGTTCTTGCTGCTGAGGTTCAACCCCCATCCAATATCTATGCATTCGGCCAGTTTTAATATCCAACTGCTTTCTTATGTTTTCAAATTTATCAATGCCTAAAAAATCTACGTTGCCTTTTTCCCAATTTAATTGATGATTTCTACTAAAAAATTCTTGTTCAGTATGGCCCATTGACTGTTTCCCTCCAAATGCAAGTTCACGTTCGTGAGTTGGAATGAATGTTAACTGATTGCATTGGATAATTATAATTTTATTATTACAGATGAATAAATTATGTTTCATGAATAACATTCTGACACACTCTGGTTGTTAAAAAAATAACAAAATCAATTATGCAAATAAAATAAAAAAACCTTTACACAAAAAAGCTCATGCAGATATATTACAATAATCACACATTTTAATTATTGAGTTGAGTCAATCAAGTTAAGAAAATTGGTAAAAGCTAGTGGAAAATTAACACTTTCAAAACAATGGAAAAAAACTCCAGAAGAAGTCTGAAAATTTTTCTCAGACTGTTCAGATTTAAATATTTTGCACAATAATACACTGACAAACAGCTCAAAGTATCTGGTGAACAAGATGCCTGTACTGTTCCGACATACATTTAGCATACAAACCTAAATACATATATATATATATATATATATATATATATGTGTGTGTGTGTGTGTGTGTGTGTGTATATACAAATAAGTTTGTTCCAACTTTTTGGTCCGAATAACTCAAATGAGTTTATTATTTTGTGCGTTTGTTCTTCGAATTAAAACAAAAAGTTATATAGATGATTATTATATTAATATTCTAATTTTATGAAAAATAATTCCATTTTTAATGGAATATCATTCTTATAAATTTTAAATATTTCACCTTTTTAAGACTTTCGGCAGAGAAGTGAACATTTTCTGTAAAAATTTGCCACCAGAGTTTTAAAAAGTCTTGACAATAAAGTCCTAAGTCACCGGGACAATCTACAGCTCCAGTATCAGAATGGTAGTGACCCATCCAAGGTTTGTTCGCACCAATGAAATGCAGGATCTTAATATCCTTGCCAAATCTATAAAAGCAAAAAAAAGTTGAAGTCAATAAGATCAAAAACCAAGTAAGACTTTAAAAACCTTTTAAATGCAGGAAGATATGTATAAAATGACTGTGCAACTACGTTGTACAAAAATGGCAAGTGATGCTTGATGTCCTTGGTAGCCCAGTCACTGAAGAATGAATTTAACAAACCTTGATCACCACCTGAATTAACAGAAAACAGTTGTGATTAAACCAACCCATAAATGGAATTAAATTTGTTTTTATCACAGCTTAACCATCTTTCAATTATTTAAAATTATTATTTGATAAAAAATTAATGTTGACAAGAAAGTGTATTGCTGACCATCAAAGCTGCCATGGTCAAGAGCAAATTTAAGTAAATCCTCATAAGTCTTTTCAGAAGGCCTGTAAACAAACACGCCAGAATTGAAGCAGTCAGGCCAGCCCACATCCGCTGCAGCTGATAGTTCTTCACGCTCAAACAAATCATCCACATTCTGCAGAACCTAACATGGTCATCGTTTCAAAAATTAAATTTATCAGTTTCTAGGTTGTTACATAAAATTTTTTTAGACAAACAAAGTAATCTATCAGGTATTCATAAAAAATGGTTTAAAGTTATGCAGTTTAACCTTCAGAAATGATAAAATATATGATGTACAATTACCAAAGGCTATTGTAATTTTAACTTGCAACTTGCTCAATTAGTAAATTTTAATTTTTCATTTTTACATGTATCATCAGCACTATTTCCAGACCTTATCACACTTAATTAGTACATCTGAATCGTCTGATTACACTTTACCTCTTATTATCACCAAAATATTTGTTATGGATGGTTATTTGTAAAACCCATAAAATTTAAAGATTAGAATTTTCATCAATATAAATAAATATGTCCAAAAAAATCAACACCATTCTATTGGTGGGCAAGTTAACTCAGGAAGTAAATGTTCCATGTAATATGTAGTTGTTGCTACTCTGCAATGACTTTGTTCAAACTCAAAGACTATCACCTCCTGTAAGTATGATGTGGTACTCACATATGCCAATAAATTTCACATAGAACAAATGTACAGCCTAAAGTGCAACTTTAACTAATTAGGTCACATATAATATGTAAGCAGTCCATGCTTGTCATCACTATATGATATGGAGAATAAATACTATAAAAAAATAAGAAACCAACTAACTAATGTGTCAGCATCAAGAAAGACACATTTTTTGAACTGGGTCAACCTCCAGCAGTGAAGTTTTGTAAATGTCACGCCAAGGTCAGGTCGTGTTAAAAGTTCAAGGTTCACTGCATCCTGGCTGTCAAGTATGTTCACTTCAACAAGCTGGAAGATACGACTCAAATGATCTCTGCATTTAAATTTAATTTAATTTAATTTAATTCATTTGTTTATTTAATTATGCAAAAAAAACGTGTTCAAATAACTTTCATTTATTTAAAAATTATAAATCTCTACAAGCAATTATTAGCAGTAATAAAATCACTCTATAATGCTAAAGTCTGATCAATGAAAAATATTAAAAGCAATGATCCTCTAACATCTTTACTCCCAAATAAAATACTTAATTCACAGTATGGCATATTTTATAGAAATTTAAATGAACAACAAAATAAATTAAAAGTTTTTAAAACAAATAACAATTAAGTATGGACATAATAAATGGATTGTAAATGTTGCAATTGATAGTTAGATACAAATAGTAATCAATTGACGAAAAAACAAAATAAAAATATAAACAGTCAACAACTGAGGAGTGAAAACAAGACAAACATACACATACATACAAACATACATACATACATAATATGCAGAAAAAAACCTCTCACTGTTGCCACACCAACACACACACAATTACAAACAGCACAATCATTGCAGCTACAAACAGATGAAGCAAGCATACAATCTATACACAATAAATACTACATCAATGTTAAAAGTATGAACAAAACAACTCTAATCATAACCATTTACAATACATATCATGTATACAATACATTCACTTCACCTTATTAAAGTTAATCCTATTTATATTTGTTATTTCATTTGTGTTCAGTTAACTGCATCATATTACAACATATTACAAAAAGAATATGACAACATCATTTTATATATATATATATATAATTTAAACAAAATGGTGGACCTAAATTTATAATAACAACAACAATAATAATAATAATAATATAATAATAATAACAATGATGATGATAATGATGATAATAATAATGAAGATAATAATAATTATTATAATAATAATAATTATTATTATTATATTGCAAGAAATATTTCCATTCAATTTTAAGTGATTCTCCAAACAATAAATTCAACCTTCCAAATTGGATACAAAATCTTCAAGAACCTGCAATACCATTTAATATAAATCCACCATCATATGCAGAAATTTCATCAATTATTCGCAAATGCAAATCTAAAGCATCTCCATGCCCTCTTGACCAGATTTCAACGATACCCTTCAAAAAATGTCCGATTCTTTGCACAATCCTTCATCAACTTCTAAACAAATGTTGGTCATCATCAACAATTCCATCCTGTTGGAAAAAAGGGTTCTCAATTTTAATTCACAAAAAAGGTGACGCCAATGACCCTGCCAACTTCAGACCAATAACTTTGCAGCCTACCCTATATAAAATATTCTCGTCGTTCATCAACAGAATATACAAATTTTTAGAATCCAACAATTACATTAATAAAAATATCCAGAAAGGTTTCTATCCAAAAGTAGATGGTTTGGCAGAGCATACTCAATTATTAACTCATATGCTCAAAGATGCAAAGAGGCACCAAAGAACAGTCATCGTCTCACTTTTGGATCTTTGCAACGCTTTTGGCGAAGTCAGTCATGGCCTTATTTCAGCTTCTCTAAATTACCATCATATACCACCAGCGATAACCAATTTAATAAAATTTATATACACAGATTATTCGATATCGGTCTCTGGATGCGAAAAGCTAACTCCTCCGATCCCGGTCAAGCGTGGTGTACTACAAGGTGATCCTGCGTCACCGTTGCTGTTCAACCTTTGTTTTAATCCACTCATGAAATTGTTAGAGGGCAGGGAATACCAGCAATGTGGTTACATTTGGGGCCCTTCAGCTTATTTAAAATCAAGGGCATGGTTCCAATTTGCTGACGACTCAGCAATCATCGCCAACAGCACAGAAGGTGCCCAAAAATTAATTGACTTAAACAAAGCTTGGTGCAAAGCTACAGGGATGAAAATGAGGATAGATAAATGCTGCACGTTCGGCATGAGGAAGAAAAATGGTAACTACGAACAATTCCTGCCGAGGTTGACAATTGATGACACCCCAGTACCGCAGATTCGCATTGGTAACCATTTCGAATATCTAGGTAAAATATACGATTTCGAATGCAACAATTCCAAAGCTAAAGATTTGCTGCTCAACAAATTACAAGGCATGTTGTCAACAATTTCAATATCTGGACACCACAGCCCAGTGGAAACTTCAAATTTTACGTCGTTTTGTCCCAGCTCAAGTAGCCTTCGAACTGCGTATTTACGATATATCACTGTCATGGATTGCCAGCAAGTTGGATCCATTGATTAACGATGCCGTTAGAACTTGGCTGGCTTTACCGATAAGCAGCTGTCTATCTGAGATTCTTTCACTGCCGTACAAATTGGGAGGTCTGAACATCAGATCCCTGAAACATTATGCTGAATCATTGAGAGTGAAGCTTTGCAACTACCTTAAATCTAACGGTAACGAAGAAATGAAAAGTCTGTGGAGCGAGTCATTTAATGACTACACAAAAATAGACAACTTGCTCACAGTCACCAAAGATATAAATCCCACTCTCCATGATTTGAAGCTTAAACAGCAAGAAAAAGTGTTCGACCATTTATCATCACTAAGTTCCCAAGGAATAGTGTTGAAGACAGTGAGGGAAAACATCAAATCAGATCAAATAGTTCGCTGGTCAAGGTCTACGGCCACACAGTCAGAGGTTATTTACAAGTTTATTAGGAAAAGTATCATTCAACAACTTCCAACAAACTCCAACCTAGCAAGATGGGGCAAAACGTCTAAACCACAATGTCCACTATGTGACGCTTATCAAACAAACAAGCATGTTTTGTCCAACTGTAGCTCCGTTGCAGCTTTGAAAAGATATTCAGATCGTCACAACAAAGTTCTCTCAATAGTTTTAGAAAATATTAAAAAATGCGCAAGTTTGGAAGTCTCGTTGTTTGCCGATCTGGAGTGTGAAGATTTTTCGTCCAGTATCAACGCTGTTTAAATCTCTGCGCCCTGATATAGCACTGGTCCGCGACGACATGATCGAGATTTTAGAACTAACGATATGCCACGAAACAAATTTAAAAAAATCTAAAGAATACAAAATTGATAAGTACTCTCAAGCCCTTCAACTTAATTTAAAGAGTGAATACAATAATTTTAAACTTTTAATTAAAACATTTGAAATTTCTACAATGGGTTTTTACAATACTTTTAATTTATCGCTGGTTAACTTAATTTGGTCGAACGATTTTAGAAACAATTTAATAAACTCTGTGTTATCATCATCTTACTCAATATATTGCGATAGGAATAATGAATGAACCTTATTTTTATTGACTATAATCTTCTATTTGTATTCATTTTTGTCGAGTGATGAGCAAATTAGACTAACAGCCTATTAATTTAAATACTTTATTATATTAAACATTATTTTATATCTATCTTTATATTCATTTTGTGATATTTGATAAAATAAAAGCAGTGTTCCCATAATAATAACATTAATACAGGCTTATAACCTTATATTTGATCCTGAGATTATGAATTTAACTAGTTATTATTATTGAAACTTGTACCTCTGATGTTGTTAGCTTGCATGATGAACAACAACATACTGCAAGCAAACGGGAGGGGATTGCTTTTAAAATAAAGTTACAACGATCGGAAGATGTTTAAACATTGCAAGGCACAAATAAGCCTCCGTAAAAATTCTTTGCCATAAAAAAATGTCCATGGTGTATCGTATTAATAATTATAATTTATGGATAAAAAAATTGATTGCCATTTCATTTTCCATCTGTATTTCCTAAATAACAATTAGGATGACTATGAGTTAGGGTAATGAGATTTTTGGTTCAAGGCAAGAGATGAGTTAGGAAAATTTTTAAATAACGTCTTCATCTTTAAGCATTTCTTTGTTTAATGAGTGGATTATTATTATTGTTGTTGCTGTTGTTGTTGATTATATTGCTGTTATTGTAGTGGTTATTGTCGGTTATTCTTCCACTTAAGCCTTACCTTTAGAAAAAATTCCAGACAAGCAACAAAAATTGCCTCGAAATTGTGATTATAGTAAAGCTTATATATGTATTAGAATATACCAAACATAGTATAATTTCAATAATTACTATAGCATCATGTTACACAACCCATAGCTCCATTTTGAATTTATTTCACAAAACTTGTCATCCAATTTCACATAAGGTATAACTCAAAATGTTGAAAGAAAAATCACCTTGAAAAATGTTAAGACTTTGAATGGATACTAAAAACAAACTTGCAAGTTTTGAACAATAATAAACAAACTCATGGATCAATCGTCTCTGGTTATAACAAACAAGTGACAACAGCTAAGATTAACTAGACTAAGAAGTAGATCCAAAAATTAGAATAAATTAACCTGCAAAAGACTGAGATTATTTTATGTAACTAATGCCTTAATGTAAACTCTTGAAGGATAAAGCAAAAATGTTTTTCCGTCATCATGTTACATCCAATCAAGTCATAATTTCAAACAAAACTTGTTTATCCATTATGCAGCCACTGCTAATGAACGACCAACTAAATAGATAACGGTAATAAGAAGTCTCAGAGTTAAGCAGAAGCAAACCCACACCATAATAATCAAATGGCTATTCACCTTGAACAACACAAACAACAAACACGTGGTACGTACTTGATAGTCTGAGAAACGTCTTTTGTGATCATGCAGACGAGAACTCTTCTGGTTCCAGCCCTCTTCAGAGAATGTCCCAAGGTCAATGCCCCCAGACCGTACGAATCGTTGGTTGCTAGGGTCACGAGGGCTTCATTTGTTACTAAGCGGTGATATAATAAAAGTGTAATGATAAGTGAACATGAATATGGTGTTATAAACATACACGATATAAATTAAAATGTGATAATATAAATAAAAATGGAATAGAGAGGAATGAATTAAAGTAAAAAGTCAACATGAAACCAGGTGGGTATCATTTTATAGCTGAAATCATTAGTCTATTTGGGAGATAATGAATAAAGAGAAATACGTAATATTATATATGCATGTGTGTGCGTATGTGTGTGCGTGCGTGTGTGTGTGCGTGTGTGTGTGTGTGTGTGTGTGTGTGTGTGTATAGACGGTGCATTGGTATACATGGTGAATAGGTGATATAACATGCCAGTCGCTTATGTACTACGATTATGTATAATGAATAAAATATCAAATTTAAGCATTATGCATAAAAAAATTCGCATAGTAATTATTTATATCTGCAGCCTGGAAGAAAAGAGTAGCAAGATTGATTTAGTGAACCAGCAACTGAACAGCAGCAAAATTAACATATAATAAAAAAATCATTCGACAACTATTAAGTACACCTCAATACGACTACTGACTATCCACAACACCAAAATGTATTAATATCTGAAATAACGAATTGTGGCTTAACAAAATTGAATAAAGAATTCTACTGCAATAAATAATTGATGGCAGCTCAAACGCAGATGTGATTTCCCCTTCATATTTCGGTGACTGCATATTGGAAACAACTTGCATAATGTTAAAAGCTGTTTTATGAGCCAACCTTTTAACAAAACATGAATGTGGTCCAAGTGCAATCAGATAGTAACTGCATCACTAACCAGACAGTCTTGCAATTGGCAAACAAACTTTTTAATACTTCTACATGCATTGTTATAGTCATTAAACAAACAAAAATAAAGTTGTTGAAACTGTCGATATAGAGTTACAAAGTCATTTGAAAGTATCTCAAACCCAGCCTAAACACAGCTATATTACTGCCATGTCGCCCCACCAACAAGAGAATGTTGATCTATCTGCTCACATCAGCATCAGATTCCTCACTTATGGCACAATTATTGTTTGGCATGAATCAATGAATATTGCTTTCTAACTTTCCCATTCATTAATTTGTGTTAACATTTAAAAACGCTCATTCATTCCTTCTTTCCTTCCTTCGTTCCTTCATTCATGCATTCACTCATTCATTCATTCATTCATTCATTCATTCATTCATTCATTCATTCATTCATTCATTCATTCATTCATTCATTCATTCATTCATTCATTCATTCATTCATTCATTCATTCATTCATTCATTCATTCATTCATTCATTCATTCATTCATTCATTCATTCATTCATTCAGTCATTAACTCGCTCGCTCACTCATTGTATGTATATATATATATATATATATATATATATATATATATATATATATGTGTGTGTGTGTGTGTGTGTGTGTGTGTGTGTGTGTGAGAGAGAGAGAGAAAGAGAGTGTGTGTGTGTGTTAACTATAACATATAATAAATACAAAGACTCATACACTAAAACGAGCAGCATTCAACTTCCACTGTTTAATAAGTTGAACAATCAACATTTAGTTAGAGACAACTTGACAAGGCATAGCACAGGCATGTTTACCACGTTCAATCTCACGTTCATTCATCAAAGATTCAAACCTACTCAAAACTTATACAGCATATATATTTATTTATGTTTAAATGTTAAAACAATCTCACCTCTCAATTTATGTCTACTTCACATCATCAGAATCCAGAATGTTTTGCCAATGCAGAACATAATCATGCAATATAAATCATTGGAGTAAAGCATTTTAAATAGATAAAAAATATATTTAGATTTTATTACTCCAAAGATTACTCCATCATTAATCCATGTATCAACAACAACTGAGTTAAAATAAATTACATATGATGCTTCCCCTAGTGCCAAATAAACAAACAAAACACCTTGCTGCAGTAGGTTCATTTCATGATTGGCTAATTGCTTATAAATGATCTATTTAAATTCAATAGCAACATAGTTCTATGTTCGAATCAATTAAAAGTATAGAATGAATTGCATTTGATAATAATTAGAAGATATACTGAATGATTTATATTACATTTAACATGGAAGGTTAGTATTTGAAAGAGTTTTGCTATGAACAATCCGATATCATTATTTTAGAAATCAAACAGAGTCATGAAAGTTTTGCTACATTTATCAGTAAGCATGAAAATGATTATTATGATTGTTGCGTAGGTAGGTAAATATTTGCCTGTAAGTGAAACAATGGGGATTCATGCAGGTCAAATGCTGGAATGTATTTCATTCCAGTATGCCAGCAGACAATGGTAACTGATGAAATGATTATAAAAGATGGTGGTGGTGGGTGGCGGAAACAACAATGATGATGAAGATGATGATAACAATGCAGATGATGATGACGATGAAAATGATGATAACAACAGAGATGGTATTATTCATTATGATGAAAATTAGAATGAAGTAATAATTGAAATCAAAGTCAGCATCAATGGGACCAAGTAAGAGATAGCTGAATAATAACTGAATAACAATTAAATACAAGAATGAATCAACTAAGACCCATTTATGTTTGGAACAGGAGCAAAGTAATAATGAAGATGTTATTAAAAAGTAAAGTAAAAGTAACAAAATATCACACACACACGCGCGCACGCTCAAACACATCACACACAAACACACACACACACACACACATATATATATATATATATATATATATATATATATATGTGTGTGTGTGTGTGTGTGTGTGTGTGTGTCTATGTCTTTATAAGCATATATATGAATAATGGTGCTTCGTGAATACAATAAGAAGCCATGAAAAATATTCCAAACAAATGACTGCTCAGTATAAATTATTGCATCCCATAAGAGATGAGCAACTCACTTTCAACTCATCTACATCACAAGAAATCATCCTCACCAGGAAGATATATTGAAATGGTATTAATATATATTATTTATTATTAATTATTAATATATTATTGATATATTAGATGTCTAGCATTTTAAAAATGGCATTTTAATGCTACACTTCTTCACTAGGAGTAAAATATATGAGTAAAATATTAGACTTTTTTGTATTATGAGACATTTTTTATAAAAAAAAAACACTATTTAAATATTCTCTAATAATAATAGCAATTCTAGTATGCAAGAAACAACAATGACAAAAAGCTATGAATAAAAATGTAACTACAGAGTAGCAGTCCAAAATGCCTGAAGGCTGCTTTACAATAACCAGAATTGCATCTACTTAATTTTTCATCATGTGTGTCTTGAAATTATATCAAAATTGAATGAATGAAGTGTAATGTTTTTTCAGCAGTTAAATGAACAAACATTGTAAGTTAAATATTTTGACTAATTAATTTAAAAAATATATAATGAAAAGACCATTGTCAATTGCATGGTGTCATCATTTAAATTTTGAAATCATATTATGATTGGATATCAAAAGTTTTTACTGATAGTGAATCAATTTGTAAGGTCAAACTTTAAACAAAAATGGAGGCATAATAAAAAGGTGATGTGAGCCAGGATGAGATGTTTGTAATTTTTTATAAATTAGGACAAATTAGTTATATTTGTTAGTAATACTTATAATAAAAATATTTTAAAAAACCAATGATTAAAATTTTTGAAAAAAACAAATAATAAACAAACTATAAATCATTATTTATATTTACCTATGATATGATGTGTAATAAAAAATAAATAAAATAATTAAAATATTAGAAATATTTCTTTCCTTTCATTCATCTTCAACTTTTACTAGATAGAGACAACATACAATATAATTAATAAAAAAAATATATAAATAAGCCAGCATAGCTCTAAACTAAACATAATTTTAATTTAATGTAATTTTTTTTAAACTACCAAAGCAAAGCCAGCAAATGAACAAAATAAAATGCAAAAAATTATTTAAAAAAAAACAAAAACCAACAAATTCCCAAGTAATATGTTCATCTATTTACATTTACATTAAAAATATCGTAATTAAACTTCAAATAATTTAGAAATAAAAATAGACTGCAATCAATTAAAAATTAAAGAATGCAAGCAAAAGCAATAGACGTTTTTTTCATTTCACATCTCTGGCGAAAAAAAAGTCAAGCAAGGTTCACCTTGATTTCGGCACTATAGGTCTTAAAAAACACAATTTGAACAACATATTTAAATGAATGAATGAAAAATGATACGAACTTTGAGAAGAAGCCATGTTGTCAATTAATTTTTCTCCAGAAAAATTGAAAATTGAGCGACCAGCAACTGCAAAACTCCTTCCGATACGAAAAGGTCATATACAGCTATATTGCTCGTATGCCAAATATCACAGACCAGTCACTAAAGAATACTCTAGCGCTTTCTATTCTATTTAATTAATTCTATTAATTAAGTTTTTGTTTTAGCATGATAACTGCTGAAAAATTATATTTTATATTCTGCAACTGATTATACATATATTTTTACGCGTAAAGTATTATTTATAACAATTTTTGCAACATGCTTAGGTCAGCCCACATATCAGCGTCGACAAGCATGTGGCCTCGGAAAAGCGTTTATGTACAAAATTGTGATTCGTGAATAAAAATCTTCGACCACGTATAGGGGCCGTCCATAAAGAGGCGTATAGGGGCCTCCCCTTCAATGGGGAGGAGGGAGTCCAAATATTTGTGGCACTTTGTGACGAGGGGGCGAGGATAAACGCAAGTGTGCCCTACCTTTTTTAAAATAAATAAAACAATAAATAAATTTTCATTCATATATATGCGCAAAATGAATATTAAAATTTTCCAGCGAGCAAATAGCTCATGAATATTAATTAAAGGAGGAGTCAAATTTAAATGCCATCGTTAAAGTTTACCGCGGAGCGGGTGTAAAAGTTAATATACTAATTCGTTATATTTTAACAACGGTAAAGCATTTAGATATCAAAATATCGTCATATAAACTTGTCATTCGTTATTTTGATATCAATATAAAATAAAATGCATAAAACAAATACATTGTTTAATGACTCTTCACGCTTAATTTGGGGGGTTGGTAGATTTGTGACACGGAGAGTGGGAGTCAAAAAAAACGTTAAAAAAGCGTGACATCCTTTATGGACAGCCCCATATGAAAAACAGCTTATATCTAAAACAAGATTAATTTATAACTTGAAGAGCGTCAGAAGAACGTAAAAAAGTTTATATCTAATTATGAGTCTAATTTTCTGCAAGTTATGTGAGGTATCTCGTTATCACAATATTTTCAGAGTTCCAGATTGCTTGGTTTATCAATTGCTTTGACTTTGCTTTCGTCGTTATTCGTTGACATAACTTCCTCCCAATCATCAGTCGAAATTTTTCAGAAGAAATTTATGTTGATAACAATGTTTAACAATTGAAAACGCACAAACAACTTAGTGTGACGTCATTTTAATGTTTACATAATGTTTTATTGTAAACTCGTCCATTGAATGTGCTTCGTGTTGTTTCAATAGTTTTATGTTATATTTGATAGTTACATTTAGACAATAATTTAAATATATACTTTGACGCTGATGCGTGTAGCTGGACACTGGTGCAGTTGTACTAAAATGTAGAGTGTAGACTTATAAATAAATTATATTTAAAATTAAAAAAATGGTCTAATTTTATATATTTTTTCAATTTAATTTTTTATATTTTTTAATTTTATATTTTAATTCTAATTTTAATATTTATATACATATGAATCATCTTACAAGCAATTTAATGTATATATTATCAATAAACAAAAAACTAGATGTCGTATTAATGAATTGCTTGGAATAAAACATAACATGGAAGTCAAACCAAAAGTTAAAGCTCGTGTGAGTCTTCAGCGGAGCATGAATGAACAAAAATTAATGAAGAACAATCGTACTAGTGATTTGAACAACAATAATAACAATAACATAAACAACAACAATAACAACATAAGTGAACGTAGCACGGTAGATAACGTATTTGAATTAGACTCGAGATGCAGTAGTGATTCAGTCAGGGACAACCTTGACAGCGTGCATGATTTAAACTCTGATGTCATCCATTCAGCCACTGAACCAGATGAAAATGAAGTGACATCAAACAACAAGATAGAGCTGATTAAAATTGAGAAAGACCTTTGTGACGATAGCATTCGTATTCATTCAGGTGCTCACAGCAGAAACTATGCTGAATATGAAAATTACAACTCCGCCGATGATGATGACGATCGACTAAATTTAGTTGAAGGTAAAAATAACTTGTACATTATTTCAACTACTCAGCAAATAACAATGATTTAAATATGATGACAATGATGTTTATTAAGGTTGTCACAATGATGATGGCCAAGATGGCTATACAAATAACGAGGTGAATATCCGAGATGAACATTACTCGCATGAGAACCGCTTGCTTTCCAAGTTGTCGCAACTGTCCGCAGAGTTTTCAAAGCCAGACTCCGTAGGTTGGTGCTTCAGTCTAATATATTTATTTCAATATCTGAAAATTTATACCAACAATAATTTTAACAAAATTTTTATAAAACTTATGATCTAAATCTTTTTATTCACATCTTAATTCATTCATTAAGATTTTGTCTGAAATAACTTGTGATTAAATTATCAAAAAACTATAAAATCATGAAAGTTAATGTTTAAATTTTAATATTTCAACAAAACAACATTCATGCAACAAACATTCACATCCTATCAATGCAGCATTCATTCACATCCATGCAACAAACATTCACATTCATGCAATAAACATTTACATCCAGGTTTATTGTTGGTTAGTCAACTTCTATCTAATTTTCCTCCTCTTCATTACGATTACGACAGTGATGTTAGTAGCAGTGCTGACAGCCGTGCAAAAAAACCTAGCCCTCCTGGCTTGTCCACATCAGACAACAACAAATTTAACAACCTTGTAGGCAAGAAATCTGAAAAGAGTAAAAGTGACATTTGCAATGGCATAAGTAAATGTTTGTATATCACTGCATGACAGAAAATTTTGTATCGTTAACATATTATCACTGCAATACTTTTGTTGCTAACCAAGTCACACATAGCCGTTAGAAGTTAATTTTCATCGACCTAAACAACATCAATACATTTAAAACACTTGTTTGCAGTAAGAAACACTGCTTTCAACAATCTGCATGATGGAACCTTCAATTTAGGCCATGTTTTAAATGCCGGTATCCAGAACTGCAACGAGGATGGTAACGCTGGCATGGATGATAAGGGCGATGTCATTAACGCCATTCAAATTGGATATAATGTCGGCGATTGTTATAATATCAACGAAGTCGATGGTGGTGATATTAAGAATTCTGATTCTGAAATCTTCGTCATGTCGTTAGTTGTGATTATTTTAAGTTCATTTTAATGTTTTATATCAAGACTTTTCATTTCATAGTAGAAATCGGTGTTCAGAGCTTTTACAACTACGCCGTTCATTATGAATTTTTTACATCGCAGATAATATAAACAAAATTTCAATAGTTTTCTTTATTTAATTATTTTAATTTATTCATCAGATATAATAATTTATGACAATAATTTGAACCAATTTTCTTAGACCACATTTAAAATTGAATGCAAAGTATGCGTTCAACCTGCAACAACCAAATATAAAGCCAAGTAGCAAAGAAGGACATCGTAGATCTCGTTCACAAATGGACACGAAAGCAAACAACTTTTTAACGCGAATAAAATCTCACCAAAGCGACCAAAATAGAAAAAGTAAACTAAACAGTCACTATGATCGGCAACGTTTGTTATCAAGTTTCAACATTGGCCAACAGAAACGTTCTAGGCAACAACTTTGTCAATCACCATTTCAACAAATATTCGACGGTTCCATGTTGATCGGAAGATGGAAGTTGGACCGAATATACAGCGTTTTAATGGAAAGTAAAGACACTTTGGCTAAACTTTTAGAAACTAAAAAGTTAGTAGAGGAATTGAAAGTGCAAAGTTCTCGCCAACAAAGACTTTTCACGTCTCGTTTACAATTATTGCAAAAACAAATACAGCAGCAGCAACAAGAGATTAAGCTCACAAAACTGGGCGAAAACAAACGTTTAAAAGTATTACAAGAACAATTGTTTGAACTGAAAAGTCATTTGAAAAATGTTCAAGCACAACAAGATCAAATTGAAAAACAAAAAATGGAACAACAAATTCTGGAACAACAACAACACATCGAACACGACCAACAAATTGAAATGTTAACGTTTTTAAACGAAAAATTTCAAAATAACGTGGACATGGGAAACGAAAGAGTTAAAGAAGTTATAGAGCACATTCTGAAAGAAAAAGAAATAGATTTTGTTGGTCTTAAAGAACAGAATTTGATTTATTCTCAACAACTTCAACACCAGTTGCAGCAACAAGAAATGCTGCTGAAACTTTTGCACCAACAAACAAAATTGCAAAAACAAGAATTCAACAAAAAATATCAACATTTAGAAACAAAAGTTAAAAATCAAATAGTGAATAGGAAAGAATTTGCATTAGACGAAAAACTACAAGACCTGACGAAACAACAGAAACCTCAACATCCCTGTAAATTTTTGCAACGTAAAAGTTCTCCATTAACAAAACAAGAACACAAACAACATTTAAAAAAGGGTAAACAACAGCTAATTAGAGTTAGGCAGCTAAAACAACATAAAGTTTTAAGATATCCAAATCAAGTAACAAATTTTGATGCAAAAAATAACGCAGAGCAATCTAACGAAACTTTTTTAGAAACAACCGAACAAGAGTCTAACATTGGTTGTTTAGCATTACAACAAAAGAAAACAAATTGTGATTTGGAAACCATGCCCCAACAAAGGAAAAAACTGTCTCGACAAAAGATAAGCAGCGACAAAGTTAAAAACGAAGAACAACAATATAAACATCAACAACTACTGTCAGAATTTAGATGGCATTCAGTTCAACAACAATCACAACAATTTAACGATTCAAAAAAACAAAAATCTCTTTCGATTCCGACAAAATTTTGCAAACAAAAATTGAATTCAAAAGAAGTTCGACAACATCATCATCAAATCAAAGATATTTGCCCCAAAAATAGCAACAATCTACTTTTAGATCAACAAAATAATCAATCCAAAAAAAAATCAAAAATTATAGAAGAGATGCAAAAAGATCTAGAAGGAGACACAAAAGAAAAGTTAAACTCCAGAGTTAGCATTGAAAAAAACTCTCCTCAACCACTTTCAGCAATTACAGAAACAACAACCAGAATAACAACCAACTCAAGTAAGTCAAACAATGAATTATGTGTAGCTCAGCCAATGCATTGATGTATATAAATAAATATTAGGCTTGGCAAAAATTATGTCGGTTTGGTACTGTACAGTTTATAATGCGATTACTTGGCTTTTATTATAGATATTTAGTCGGAATAAAATCATTGTAATCTACGCTCGACTTCCAATAAGAAATAAGTTTATCGATGCCAGGAGCATAAAAATTATAGGTTTTGAAAGCGATGAACTGTAAGAAAGCGTTTTTGTGACATCTTCTGTTATGAAGCACTGTTCTCATAAAAGTTGTTTGAAAAAAAAATAATAATTTGTTTGTGAAAGGTCACGTGAGTGTGGTGAGTGAAGCAGGACCTTGTGAGTCAGCTCCTTCAGCTTATTTAACGTCTTTTTTGCGACTTGTGGTCTACCGTTATTGTGTATAAAGAGAGTGCCCTAGAATATAACATTTCCTGGGCGCAGGGACCTAATTTTAAGTGCATCAAGTGGCAGATTTAAACAACGTTGACGGGGAGCCACACATTTTTAAAATGTATAAATTAATCTAATGTTTGCTAGTGTGGCTAAATTGAATTGGTGACTTTTTTGCTTATAATCCCATTTTTGGTCAATTTTTAATACGGTGCGTTTTTATCATAATTGGTCCAGCTACTGAACTTAACATTGTCTATTGTCATAAAAAAATCTAGCTTTTATCACAGATCACAGTCCGCTCAAAAAATATATATGCTTATTAACAACTTTTGAGTAATTTTGGCCAGGTTTGCTTCAATAAATGCTTTCAGTTTATCATCATCAATTTAACATGAACGTTCGCAACACTTCATCCTCAAGACCCATACCAACTGTAAAAACTTATTGTAACCAACCTTCTGTAGTTTGATTAAAAGCACCGACATCTCATCCTTCCACAATATTACCAGTTGCCTCGGCCACGTTGTACTCGAGTTTCAACTCGTGAAGCAAAATAATTTTAAAATCACGCTTTGAAAAGCTTTTTAACTATCGCTTAGAAACAAACCCAGTGGAATGTTTAATCAAGTATTTATTATAAACCGGATTAAAAAAATGACCTTTACAACGAATTATAATTATTAATATGTCCAATAATAATAAATTGAAAACTTTAAGTCGAAAAATTAAGTTATGTAAGACCGACATCATTTTTGCACCAGCCTAATATTTTAGATTAATGTGTGTGGAAATGTAAACATTTAGATCTATTTTATAAGTCGTCTGAAACTTTTTTCGTCGTTCCTGTTTTTATTGAACTTTTATAGTTTGGTGATTTTGATAGTCTAATCCGTTTGTTTTGCTTGCTAAAATTAGCGATTAAAATATACGAAAACAAGATGCACCAATCTTTGTAATAACAAGATCGGTGCATCTTCGAAAATATATGGTAAAATATTTGCAAAAAGATAATAGGAATAAAACTGGTAGAGTTATTATGGGTCTATATTATTATTATATAACTTTATTTATGTAGATAATTAATTAAAAAAGGTAGGAATGAGAATATTGCTGACGAAAGGTTCAGTGAAGATTTGAAGATGTTAGTTGATAGGACCAGTGCTAGTGACTGCAGACGTCATTGGGATGAGATGGAGGAAGAAAATGAGGGAAATCACAACAGTTCCCGAGAAAATTATTTGAAAAACTACGAAGATGAAGAGGATGGTGATAATTTTGTTGACATCAATAAAAAGAGTAAAGAGAATAATTACAACAAAAGAAATGAAAAAAAATTCGACATTAATTCAGATGCTTGCAATTTCAATAATGTTAATGATGAACATGATGATATTAATTGCTTGACGTGGGAACAAAATTTAGCAAACGATGTAATACTTAATGAGCTTGTTGATGAAAGCAAACAGCGTGCAACAGTTTCGATGTATGGATCTGGTGGTGATGGCGATGATGATGATTTTAAAAATAGTAAGAATCGTGATGAATGTAGAATCATCAAAAGGATTCTAAATAGTCCTTATGTTCTTGATATAAATAATACCCTGCATGTTGATTGTTTTGAAAATGAAAAAATTTCTCAACTGGCCGATGCTGAATTTAATAATTTTAATATGGTTTTACAAAAAAATTATGTGCAAGAAGGCAATAAAGTTGGTGAAGATAAAAGTTATGTTGATGGTGTTGCAATTGATAACGATGATTACGACTGTCGGTCTTTGAAATCGGAGAAAGGAAATAAACCGAATAAGATTGATGAGAAAATGAAAACTTCAAAAAGACAGCCACAGGATGAAAGAAAAGAACCATCACTAAATCATGACCTACAGCAGCAACAATTTAGTCAAAGATTTCAACGACGTCGGATAAATTCTGATTTATCTAATGAAATAAACTCAAAACTTTCAATTCAAGAGCAACTGAGGGAACAGCATGAATTGTTGCAGAAACAACAATCTTTGTTAATTAAAATTAAAAATGAACAAGAAAAATATTATAGGCTAAAAAATAAACGTGATAATATTCAAAGTCATTCGCAAGGAGAGCAGCGTCAAGAAACGGAAAAATTTAAAAATTTTCCTACTACTAATAATACTCTCTTGGTAAATAATGAAGATTTTTCTTTCGATAATATTCATGATATACCAACAACAGCTGCAGCAAATTTCAAAAAAATGTCAGAAAAAACAAATGGAACATTATTGGCAACAATTAATACAACAGAATCAGATAAGTTTTCAAAACCATCTGAGTATCGCAGAGTTAGATTTAACAAAACTATTGCTTCAACAAACATTTCAACAGCATCCAATTTTAAACCAACACATATTGTTTCAGAATCGCCTCATTTCAATTCGAAGAAAAAATCATATAAATCTATGAAGTTGGCTAATTCAAATTTAGATAAAGCCTCAATGTATTTGCATGAAATCATTTCAAATGAAGAGATTGCACATTTGAAAGTTCCGGATTCAGAACCTGAATTAGAATGTGACACCGCATTTAAAAACGTTTTGAAAAACTCCACAAATAATGATTTCAACAACGATGATTTGCCAAAAAATGTTGAACAACCAGAAAAAAAGAAATTGGAGGGAGATTTCCATCAACAATACGTCATCGAGTTAATACAACAAAACTCCCCAACTTCTTCCACACTATCCAGCCCCAACTACAACAATATTTGTGGAAACGATCAGCAAGAAAAACTGGAACAGTTAAGAAATATCAAGAATAAAAATTATAACACTAATTTTTCAAAAATTCCAATGCGCCAAAACATTCTAACTAAACAATCTTCACAACAAACGTTTTCACCATCGCCATTTTCAATTGACCCTAACTCCTTCATCAACCAGGCATATTGTGATTCTTCATCGACAAAAAACATTTACAACAAAAAAGGCAAAGGCGAGGAAAGTAATTTTGAAATGATTACTGATGACTCTACTTCAGTTTCAAGTCAGAGCATACATCTGCAGCAGTTGAATTCGTCCGACGAATCTTTTGACTTGAAATTCCTCGATGATTGTTATGACCCCACACATTACGCGACATCTTGTTCGGAAGAAGAAACCAGCATTAATGATGTTCAGACTTACGTAAGCTGCACAAAAAATGTGTGTGCATCGGGTGAACGATGTGAAGGTAGTAACATTGCTACTGGCAATAGATCATACCGTAATAAATATAAAAATAATTCCTCAACTGTTCCAATAGATTATGCTACTGATAATGAAAATAACTGCGATAGATATAATGATGGGTTTGCAAAAAAGGATTTTTTAGACAAATTTAATTGTGACAACGTCAACAAAAAATTGGAAAAATCAGAAAAAATAACTGGGCGTTACATTGTTGACAAACATTCTTCGAAAAGTCATAATGAGTTAATTAAAGTGTACACAGAAAAGTATAAAGATGATTTGATTGATCAAATTGATGAAATAATGGGGTTCGGTGTCGGTCGCAAAAGTCAACACAAACTTCTTAAAGAATCGGCTGATCTATTAAACAATTCATCACAAGAAATGGTTAAACAAATTCCATTGAGAAAGCCATCTAATAATGCTTTTGAAGAAAGCGTGTTGACTCATAAGAATAAAGAATCACCTTTCTTTCTGGTCGAAGACAAGAGGATGTCAAATCATGCTGAAATGTATGTGGACAGAGTGTGCGCTCATGGCCAAAGTATAGTGCAAGCCATCGAATGCGAACTAAATTTTGTTAAGCCGTATTTAACAAATACTGAAAATTCAACCACTACAAAATTGGCTAGAAGAGAAATTACAAAAATTACTCAATTTTTGCAAGCTGAAAAATAAAAATAAAAAGCCAAATAAATTATACGGAACTGGAAATTCTCTATTTGATCAATTTTTTCAATTTAGTTGTTAAATATTGTTTTCACTTGGTATGTTTAGAAGAAACTGTTAAAACAGTTTGGTCTATAAAAACGATTATATATCTAAAAGATGAATGAAGCCAAAAAAATTAAATAATTATTTATCTTTTCAATTGTTTGTGATACAAGTAAACGAAAAAAATATTTCGTTACATAATTATAACAGTTATGTATATTTTAGTTAGTTATTCTTAAAACAACAGAGCTGGTGTATCAATGAAGGATTCCGTTAGCTTAATGGTACATTGATAATATGCAAATCACTACAATATGCTATTTACCCCTTAAGCCGCAATATGCTAATTATCCCATACAACCCTCGAAGATGAATTTTATAACATATTTCAGTTTTATTCAAGGGGGGGGGGGACATCTGACGATTGAAGCCAATTGCAAAGCTTCCGCAATACTTAACCGATTTTTCAGGCCGTATAACTGCGATTTATTTGTAGAAAAATAAAAAATGGTACATTAGTTTTTATTGATTAAAAATATATAATTTAAAAGAACAATAAAAAATAGACAAATTGCTTCTCAAAAGTATATAACATTATTGTTATGATGATTATACATATTAAACAAAAACAATTATTAATTATATTGTGCATATGTTTAAAAATACTTAAAGAACTGTGAAATAAAACCCTCAAATCATTCAATTCCTCACAACAACTTAAACTATTACCAATAATTTTATAAACCGGTTCATCATCTAAACCCATCTGACCAGATTTCACTGCAGCACACTTACATTCAAATCAATTTTCCAAAACCGACAACATCCATGAAACTTTTCAAGATTCTTTTGTAATACTTCACGATCATTGTCTTATTTTATACAACTAAACAATTTCGCATTGTCTATATATAAATACAAATTGACAGAATCATTTTTAACAATACCAAAAAAATCATTAAAATAAACAAACAATATATAACAAGACATAAGTCTCTATGAAAACGAATTTTCCCCAACGCCCAAATGAAATGACTATTAATTCGCAAAATTTGCGGCATTAGCAAAATGCAAGATAAGAAAGATTGTAGGGAAAAGAGATCGCGTGAAGTCCTTGTGTCACTTGTTGAACATCATCATATTTCAACTACTACAAAATGTTAAAGATCGGGTTTTGTGGATGTCAATGGTCGCCAATGTCCTGATAGGATAAGGTACGAGAAAGAAGAAAAAGAGTGTTAATGCATTCTATTTTCAAAAATGAACTTGAAAATTTCGTTTTCAATTCAAAATTTACCCTATTTGGTAAATTAATTTGGGTAAAAGTTAAATAAAAGCTTTTCACTCCACACGGGGTTGTGTCCCATATGCTACCCCATATTAAGTTCTTTCGATACCCGTCAACTTAGTCAAAGACTGGAATAAACTATTAACACCTTACCTCTTAAAGTATACTTAAGTCAAAGATTACTATTTATTTTTCTGGATTGATGTCTTGATATCGTTTGATCGGATTTTTTTTTTGGCTGTGATTGATTTTGAGGATGTAATAATGATAACTAAATAATTATGAAAAAAAAACAAAATAAAACAAAAATTAGGAAAAAATATTAAAATTACTGGCACATTATGGCACCATCTTAGGAGCTGCAGTGCCGTTAAAATCTTCATTAGAAAAAAAAGTTCTTTCGAAAGATAAATTTAAATTGGCACATTTAACGTTAAATTGATTCATTCCATTTATGGACAACTTTCTCATCATGCAAAGCTGCAAAATCATTTTTTAAGCAACTATTTGTATACAATTTGAATTTTTAAGTTATTTTTAAAAAATTCAATAGAAACTATTTATTAAAATAGAAAAAAAATGTTTTTTGAAAAAATTTTTTAATGCTTCTAGTGTTATAAGTATATGTATGGACTGGTTATTATGTTAATAAGATGAATCTTCATTCACAGTAAATATCGCTGCTAAACTTTTTACTTTCTTCTCTAACTACTTCTCCGTCACGGAGTTCAGAGTTGATCTTAAAATTCATCTGTTTGTAAAACTCATTGATGTGAGCTGTTAAACACTGCAAAAAGGGAAACAAATTGTTTGATTGAACTGTTGAAAAATTGAAAGACGCGGTAAATGTTTGTCTATAGTAAATTAATCGTATCTTTAGATAGGTTTGCAAACGAAATAATATATCGACATTTTCAAAACATCTAGCTCTCGTTGATGTGAACTATATCGCTTATATATCGATAAATGTTAATATGAACGGTATCCGTCGCTATATAGATAGTTAATCTCAAAAAATCTCAGACATCGACAACAAAATTTTGATCAGTTGGACAAGTCTCGCGAAACTAATCAAAGTGTAATAACATAAACGTGCAAAAACGTTTAATAACGAACCTCTTCGATACTTTAAGAAAAGAACAATGTTTCTTTTCTTGGTAGACATCGCTCACTTGTAATTTTCGGAAAGCATGTACCTTGATTACCTATGTATATATGCCACCAATAAAATGAATATATCTTAAAAAATCTATAAGAATAAGAAACAATAAATATTTCCAAACTTGAAAATGCGGTAAAAAAAATTCAATTTTTCTTTTTCTTTGCAGATTATGACAATGAATCTATGGATGTTTCGCCGGAGAAGCCACATTTGCTGCGGACTCCCGTGGGCCTATCAATTTAGTTACACCGTGTGCAACGGTAATTACCATCGACTACGTACAAAAATAACATGTTGAGATATTGAGGAATTTTATCACGGACCTAGTAAATTTTCATGAATATTTGCAATATTTAGCGCGGATGAATTAAAAAAATAAGTCGCGAAATTTAATTAGGGTAGCAGAAAAATTTATGCGGCGCTGTTAACCGTGGACGTAGAATCTAGCATTCTAAGGATATATAGCAATCGTTGTAGTCTTTCAAAATATACGCGGTGGTTTTTATCGTGGATGCAACCTTTTATTTCATATAAACGGCCTCATACATTTAACATATATTCTTCTTCTTTCTCGTGCCTTATCCTTTCAGGACATTGGCGACCATCGACCCCCACAAAACCCTATCTTTAACACTTTGTAAGAGCTGAAATGTGGTGATATTCAACAAAAATAATATCTCAGCAGCGTTAATCTTTTTTTTCATTTTTTTTTAGAAATTGTCCAGGACTCATAGCCGTAAGTTAGCACAGGGAAAATATAACACCCATACAGTTTTAATTTTGTTGATATTCTGATTTTACTATTGGCGAGGATGTTTTTCATTTTAGAAATGCATCTTTCGCTACAGCTATCTTTTGTCTTTTTACGTCTTTCTACCAATCATCAAAAAGATCGTTAACGTATTCAGTCCATCTTTCAAGTACTTTTTTTCTCTACGATTACTTCACCGAATTAACTTTTATGCATTATTGAATTGAATTGAATTACAAATTGAATTACAAGCCCTTTTTCCAATGATTTCTTTGATGTTTTATACATTGCATTTGTATTACTTTTTGTATTACTTTTGTATTACTTTTTGTATTACTTTTCAACGATTTCGCACTTGTCATTTAACCATTTCTCCTTTACCTCCAAGCGCATTTTTATGATATATATTTTAATAAATATAGCGGACGATAAAATTTACGATGTCATACTTTTCTTTTTTCATATTCTCTCTTTGAATAATTATTGTTAATATATAGGCCAGTTTTAAACATGTCACTCTTTAGTTTAGACAATTGTGTTGTGCTCGTTCTGTCAGCTGCTTGATTTCACCATATACTGAATATTGTTATTGTTGAGTTCATGGAAAGCATTTCACATTCCAAGTGGGCTCTTGTCAATGTCAGTGCATCACCAGTTTTGGTACGGCCGATTAAAATTTATTTTTTCGATTTTGATTTGTATTTTGTAATTTATTTATTTTTTTTAACTAGTTTTATTAAAACTTTTAATTTAAAAGTATAAAATATTAAAATTATTGTGAGTAAATAGATAATAAAGAATAAACTACTCACAATATGATATGAATGAATGAATAATATATGAAATGAAGACAACCTGATGGCTATTATTATTTATTTATAATATAGTAGATGATACAGTGAAGCACAAGAATAATTTAATTTTAATTTAATATTTTATTTGCATCATAAATTCACTAATTGACTAATAGTGAATTTATTTATTTATAACTTACTGTAAAAAAAGATTTTTAATTCTAACAATGATTTGAACTTTCTGGTTATGGCCTTATGTTAGTCCTTTTTCTTAGTCTTTTTCTTAGACCTTAAAAAAAGAACCATACAACAAACACTCTTCCTTATGAACACTGCAACAAATTAACAAATTGATAAAAAACAATGTCTGTTATTAATTTTTGAAATAACTTTTATTCATAACTTTTATTCGACCACTTTTGGAGTTTGCGATGTCAGTTTGGTCCCCAGATTTGAAGGGTGATATTGAAGTGATTGAAAGAGTCCAGCACAGAGCAACAAAATTAGTTCCTTTTATAAGAAATTTTGCTTACATCGATTGTCTAAGAGAATTGGATCTAATAACATTGATAGAAAGAAGAAGAGGAGGAGATTTAATTCAGATATTCAAAAGCAAGCATAAAATGGACAGAATTAATTTAATAAATCAATTTAATAATGTTGTAACTAGAACGCGAGGTCACAGTATGAAATATTACAAAGAAATAACAAGACATAGAAGCAGAGAGAATTACCTATTCAATAGAACAGCAAATATCAGGAATTCATTGCCAAATGAACTTGTCAATGCGCAAACATTAAATAGTATTGATTGTTGGATGAACAACAATTAATCAACGAATCGGCTGTGCTAGCATACCTGACAGCATGCTCTCTGGAAATTTCCAGAACAGCATTACTACTAATACTACTACTACTACTACTACTACTACTACTACTACTACTACTACTACTACTACTAAATAAGTTCCCCCGAGTAAGGACGTGATGCTGAAATAAATGAAGAATTTTAGTGACAATGAACTGCATAATATTTAGTCGATGATCTAAATGATTTGTTTTCAGCAACTTGCAAAATTAATGGTTTGTTTTTTTGATAAGATTGAGGCCGAACAAGTATTTTAAGGAAATCTGATGAAAAAATTTACATTTTGCTGACAAGTTGTATAAATAATGTAACAAATGTTTCAATAGATAAGTTAGTGATGTGTTTGGCTTGCTCAGGTATATTTTCTACATTGCTTTTTTTAAGTAAATAATTTTTTTTATAATTTTGAAATGATTTTTAATTGAATATCAAAATTCTAAATCTGTTAATTTCATAAGATTAATTTGAAACTTATAGTGTATAATTTGTTGTGAATGAGGTACTGAAATAAATCATTCTTAATTAAATTTTGTAATTTCTATAGTATTCATTTATATTTGTTAGGATCATGTTGCTTCTGGATCATTTGTTGATGATGGCGATGATGATCCAGGTGGTTATATTATTTTAACTGTTTTTGTGATTAATATTTGAGTTAAAATTGTTAAAAATAAATTTTGTTTTGAACTTTTTATTGTTGTCTGAACCCAATTAACCAGGTGAAATAATTTACACACGAAAAATTGGATTAACTAATAAAAATTTATCATTATTTTTATTTGTTTCTTTTGCGTGCCAGAGTAAAAAGACTATAAGAAAAATCAGCTGAAATTGGGTCATCTGCTACTGTAGAATTGTTTGAATATTTTATATATAAATAAACTAACATGTTTCTCAAGCCACAAATTAAAAAATTGCTGAAATCTTTATAAAGTTTCTTATTTTATACTAATATTAATGCTAGAATTAAGATGTGGTTAATTTAATAACCAATCAATCTTTCTTTTAAAATTATCTTTTTATGATTGCTTGTTTTAAATATTTCTTAGAGTTGATCAGCTTAAAGTCATCATCTAACCGAGATTCAGATTCAAGTTTGTAAATTAATTTACTCAGGATTCAAATGCTTTGTATTGATATTTATTCATTTATTCCTTCATTAATTCATTCATTGATACAAAACGAGATTTATTTCTTAAAATACACAAATGTAAACATTAAAATCTGTCAAGGTTTTGATATAATTGATGAAAATGTTTTTGGAAATGAAGGGGAAGATGCTTCCACACAAACAACTGCACCAGTTAAAACTCAAAAATCTAAAGGGATCCAGATAAGTAGTGAAGAATTATCAACAAAGCCATTTTCTCCATTATTATCTTTGACAATTGCTGTGGTGATTATTGGAGTTGGTAAGACTTTATAATACTGTATTTTTAAATTCTGGTTTTTATTTAATTTGCTTGCTTTTATATTTTAATATAGTTGTGTACCAATTTATGGCTCAGTCAAGTCAAACTTACAGCATGATAACGACTGTAAGTTAATACATAATAATAATGATTTTATTTTTGGTGGTATTTAATAATGGTATTGCCGTATCTCCTATTGTAAACTTTGCTGGAAGCAAAGCACTTATGACGTCACACATCAATTAAAGTTGGTGCTGGTAACTCTCTTCTAACAGCATCAGTTTAGGTGATCGAAAAAACCTACAAAATATGATATAGAAGTGTCCTGTTCAATGTTTAATCAATCAATATAATAATTGTTCTCTTAAAACTCATGTGAAAACTAACTGGTTAATTACATGCTCTCTATAAGCCAGAAATCAGATGAGGCAGACCACGTTTGACATACGAAGACCAAATTCACAAACATTTTGAGCATTTGAACCTGGAACAACTAAATGAGGAGCTGGCCGAACTTGCAAAAGATAGAGAGTTTTGGAGAAATATTGTTGTACCTAAAAAGCCAGCCCGATGACGATAAGTTAAGTGACAGTAGAAGTAGGTCGATGACATTAACTTTTATAGATATAAAAATCCTTTCTATCTTTGTCCAACTTTTTTAAATTCAATCATCCCGCTTAAGTCCATTTTCTGGCAGGTCTTGTTTTTTTCAGTTTCTTTTTCTAATCTAATATCCAACATTTTAAATAATTTATGATTTTTTTATTTGCATTTTCATACAGTTAGAAGATACTTATTTGCATTGGTTTGCAGTTAATCAAAGCGTGTTTTTATTTTTTAATTTATTCTATTTTCAATTTGTCCTCAAAAGATAAACTTCCTCTCTCGTGAATTTTCTCCACTCTTATTTTTACTTTTTTTAATGGGGCTTACAATAAATGTCTCGAACTTCTCAAAAATGATTTTGGACTTTCCATTGTTCAACTGCCTTTTTCAATAGCGTGTTCCTTTGTTCAGTTATTTTTAAAGATTTTATTTTTAGCGTGTACAGATGCATATTTAACCCGCTTTGTTCGTAAATACTGTTGAAAGAACGAATTTTCACAAATTTAGGTAACACAAAACCATAAAGGATTGCAATGAAAAATATTGCAGAAACTGATAAATTCATGATGTTTTCTTCATAAGATATTAGATTTCCTATTGCATTTAAAATGTTTAGAAAGTCTTCTACTCCATCATGTATGCATATGTACTTCATTTTACACCTTGTCCAGAGATCAAAGTCAAAATATTTTATCGATGCATAGAAAATGAAAAAAACGAAAATAATTTTTCAATATCCCTGAAAATAGTTACAGAATTTACAAAAGCAAAACTTCAGCCTAAGAAAAAATAACATTATTTTACATTAATTTTGGGAAGGCTTTAAAAAATTAATCAGTAAAATGGGTTTTATGAACATTTCTTCATATTGCTAAATACATCTGATAAGATTATGTTTTTTTTTTATTTATAAAAGATGCTTCTCTCTGAATTGTGAATCCCGTCCTCGCCCCCTCTTTTGGTTGTTGTTGCAGGGAATTCAAGATAGTTCTCGCTTCTTCTTCTTAACTCGTGTTAAACACTTTTTTGCCAAATCTGCTTTTGCTTTTTCTGACCCTTTTCTCTGCAACTCTCTACCTACTTTTCTGACTACTTCTCCATCACTTACGAAGTTCAGAGCGGATCTCAAGACCCATCTGTTTTCAAAATTCATTGAGGAGCACTGTTGAACATCGCGGAAATAGCGTTTTACAAGCTAATTAGTTGATTGATTGATAGATTGATTGATTAATTGATTGATTGATTGAACAGCTTTAATAGAATGCTACGCTAATGTTTCCAGGTCAACGTTTAGCTCAATTAGCATAATTCAATTCCTTCGCGTAATTCAATAGTGACATCTCTTTAAACATTTTTCAAAATTAGTTTGCCATAGATTTTGCGCTGAAATTACCCTACTGTTGTATAACTTTACTGAAAACTAGAGTTGCAATGACGTCACACATTTGTTATAATTAATGCAAGGGTCTCATCAGTTTTGGTTCAAGTGATTGACGAGAACTAATAAATAAAACATGACGTAAACGCTTCCAGTTAAGCTGGTTTATTTCGATTCTTATGTGTAATTCCCTTTTAAAATCTACTTTTATATTTTTTGGTTGCAGATTCATTTAATTGCTTTATGAAAAGAAAAAAATCGTTAAAATTATTAAATTTTTTGTAAATTCGATTTGAAATTTAAATTTTTAGGCTCCTTATGGCGCAAGGCATTTTAAACTACAAAAGCAGATCAGAATGTTGCATAAGAAGCTCAGGAGTGAACGACAAATAAATGTATTCCTCCTTCGAAGAATGAAGCATTGTTTAGATGAAAACACCTTCAAATTCAAAAAAGAATTTTTAGATCGTCAACAAAAAAATTTAGTTAGAATTGAAGAAATTTTTGATGTGATCGTAAAACTTAATTACACCATTAAAAATGCAACACTGTTATACGACGCTAACTCATTCAAGCAGGAAACAATTGGCAATGAAATTAAAGTAGATTCTAGCTTTTTAAAAAAAAATTTAAATTTTGATAAAATAAAAACTGACAAAGTAAGAGGCATATTTGAGGGAAATAAAGCGCACAACGATGATGATTATACGAAAAAAAAAATTACAAAAAATCGCCGTATTAATTTATCGAAACAGCCTGAATCGTTTAATGCGCGAAAAGCCAGAAAGGTAAGTGAAAGCAAAATCGGTGATTTTATGAAGAACGAACATTTTGATCAGTTACTAAAGTATAGCTCTAATATATTTACTAAAACTCAAAGTATGTTTAAGAGATATATGAGAAAGTTTTCTATTCCTATCAAGGTTAAAAAGGCCCTTCCGCTGTTTAATGAATTTAAAAAACTGTTTCATAACAAATTGCTACCTAATGCTCCTCTGAAACAAAAGAATTGGTTTTTGTGTCAGTATATTTGGTGGGGCGAATATTTGAATATCACTGACCACGACAAATTTTTATCGGCTGAGTGGGATTTTACTAAGGCTTTCCCTTGTGATGTTTTTGGCTGGCAGAAAATGAAGAAAATTCTTAAACCTAAAATTCCGTTGACCCATGAAGCGTTCAATGGCTCCTACGTGCATGTCGAAAATAATACGAATGAAAAACTTGATCGAGAAGACGAATCAAAATTTTCTGGTAACGCTAACGGAGAATGGTATTTTCGAAGGTTTAGACCCGCGGAGCCAGAAAACACATGGTATTTGTGGATGTTGGAAAGATCGGTTAATAAAAACACTTAAGATTAATTTAGATTAACTATATCAAAGATTCAAAACCTTTTGTTTTAGGTTAATGGTGGAAGTTTAACTTTGAAGTTTTCTTTACTTATTATTACCATGTAATAATACGATTAAAAATGTTTTCAAACCGTAACCAAGCCGAAAAATGTTTTTTACTTAATTTGTTTAGTTAATTGTATTTTCGTTTTGTGTTATTATGTGTTTATCTTAATTTAATGTAAAATATTTTGTTTTCTTTGATTTTGGTGGTCTTTCAATTAAATATTTATGTTCATCTGAATTTTATTTGATTTTAATTTCTGTTTTTTCAGCTTGATTGATATTGGATTTGTCTATCAGTCAATATACAAACATTTCCACAAAAAGATTTCAGTTAATGATAAAAATTTTTTTAGAAATTTTTTAATTTAGAAACATTGTGACCGACATGAGATAAGTCTGTCTGTTCCCGTCTTTTAACTTCGAAATTCGTCGAAATACTTTGGTGACGCGTAGTGCAGGAATTTGTAAACGAAAAGAACTGATATGAAAACATGATCAACAGGATGTTTAACTTGCTGAAGAGGTAGTATGCTCTAATAATGGTTTGCTATTATAGATGATTCTAATGAATTTTTGTTGAAGTTTACAAATTTTGTCAATGAAATATGGTAAACTTACCTAAAATTACGTTACAACAAGTAAAGTAAGCCAAAAAAAACTATTGTAAGTAATCATTAATGTTTCTAAATTAAATTTGTTTGAATTTTTATATACGGTTGAGAAATGGATTATTTTGCTTTTTAATTCTCGTTACGTTCAAGCCAAGATAAATTATTTTGAAAGGTTAAGCATTACTATATCTACGGGTTAAACCTAAGAACTTTATCGAACCCCATTATTATTTTCGAAATTGTTTCCTAAACTTATTTTCCATAACTTTTATTGAATTTGTTAATATTTTTGCACCAATGAATGTATAGCAAGTTTTCGAAATATTTGTTCAGAGTTTATATTATTTATAAACGAATAAACCAACCAACTTTGATATTTCAACAATTAATAAAATAAAATGGTGTCATCCATTAATATATATTATGCAATTGAGCACTGTCAAGATGTTAGGCAATTTATTTATGAAAATGGAAAACAACAGAGGTCTCAAAATCGACCCTTACATGTAGCGTTTTTGATTTGATTGCTCAAAAAAACAGATAGAGATCTGTTGGTTAGAAAACTTAAGCCAAAAAAAGATATCGTCGAAAGAAATCATAAAACGATGACATGTTTGATAAAATGTTAATCTCTGATATGTAAGAATTCTCCCTTATACTTACTATTTTGTTCTAAGATATTCGAAAACGGTGACAGTAATGATATCGGTCTGTAATTATTGATACTTGCATCATTTATGTGGCCTTTTTATGAACAAATATTGGAGAAGGTAGTTGGATTTTGTTTGATTGTTTGTTAATGGTTGATTTTCTTGTATGTGAAATGCTTCTCGAAATTTTCATCATGTCTTCAAGCCAGTCCAACTCTGGTTTCGCTCAACACCGCTTCATGACCCTTCACGCAGATGCAGATCACATGGTGTTTGTTTATTACATGAATTTAAATAAGTCATTAGCACTTCCTGTAATTTCTCGCTACGGAGATGACTTCAAATTCTGTTGATTTTGCCACTGAAGGTATCGATAGATTATCTCTGGAAGACAAGACTCAGTTGAAGTACGTCGACTCCGAACAAGTGACGCAAACGGACCAGCTGAATAAAGCTCTTTTAATTGCTTATCTGAAACGACTAAACAGGGAAAAACCAACTATTTTCAATAAAGAAGAGCCCATGCTTATCGAAGATTATGAAACTAACGACTTTCTCTGAAAATTGTCTCGCGTAGCCTCGCACAAAAATTATATTAATTATTTTTAGTTCAAATACTTACATAACATTACAAACTTTACTTAGATTTTGACAACTTTGACATTAGATTATTAGATAAGCTGATAAGGTCAGGATTATTTATTATTAGTACTGAATAAAAAATAAATTATGTACTATTGGAGTATTCTTACTTTTACTATTTAGTAATTAGAGTTTTAAACAACTATGTTTTGCTACTAGCACAGTAGTCAGATGTAGATTAAGTCATTATAAAAATGATTTGTGTTCAATTGTTTAATCTTTAACACATGTATAATCAGTGTATTGCGTAATAATATAATTTGGGATCATATTTGTATTAATTTTATAGTTTTCTTTCTAAATTGTGTAATTTTTAATCCGGCAATCTAGGGAGATATGAGGTGCATAGTGATAGGTATTGGAGGGTAAGTGTTTTACAGTTTCATGCTTTATATGGGTATATTCATTTTTATCATTTGAATTTTTCAGCTGTTCAAATGCTGGTAAAACAACCTTAAGTCAATTTATTCAAGATAGTTTTGAAAGTGTTGAAATAATACACATGGACGAGTTCTACAAAGTAACTGTAAAGTAAATTTATAATTTCAGCTTCACAACTTTATTTAACTTTTAACATTTTTAGAAAAATGATCATCCAGATTTGGAGCTGTGCAAAGTTTACAATGGAGAATTTGTTAACTGGGATTGTACATATAATTTTTTTTTAGAATAACAAGAACTGTTTGTTGATATTTTTTTTGTTTTACATAGGTCTCTTGTCTTATGACATAGCAAGGTTCAGGGATAAGTTTTATAAGCTTTACAATGCTTATACAAAAAAACCCATAGATATTCTTGTTGTTGAAGGAATATTTGTTTTCAGTATAGGGTTAGTTATATTTCTAGATATATCCAGTAAGATCTCATAAATAATGCATTTTACAGTTTCTTGCAGGATGTTCTTACAAAAAAGTATTTCCTTGATCTTCCATTTGAAGAAGGATACAGAAGAAGAATGTTAGCTATTTTATTCCTGAAACAAATTTTTTGAGATTATAGGGCTAATGGGTATAGGGCTAATTGTTATTTCAATATCATTGAAACAAGGGTTTTTACCTGAGCATTTTAATTGTGTTAAGAATGTTTGTTTTACATATTGCTTGAGACCGCTGTCAGTAAAAAATCAGTCTCTTGTGAACTTATGGCTCATGACATCCCTAATCGCTATGCACAGTATAAATATTACTAAAACTTTATAATGTGATGCTTCAATGTAACGGAATCTTGTGTAGATACTTTTAGACTGTTTTATATGATAATAAACTTGTTCAAAGTGGACTGATTTCAAAAAGTAATCCACTACTTTCATTATTTTCATTTGAACAAGGGAAAGAATGTATGAAGGACCAGAACCGAAGGACTACTTCGCAACCTTTGCTTGGCCTTCTTATATGAAAATAAAAGAAGAAATAAAGAATCAAGAAAACATTAGTTAGGCAAATATTATTTTTGACTTGCATATCTGTAAAGCAATTTACAATTTTACTATGTAATGTTATGTAATGATGTGTAAGTATATCACTCTGTGGTTGTGTATGGGGGTTAGGCCAAAATTAATTTTCATCAAGGAATCTAAACTAGTTCTAAAATTTTACTGGGGGCGAAAGCTGCAATGAAGTCACACTTTCAATGTAGTGGTGCAATATCGGTATGGATTTGGGCAAGGGTCGGTGTATCAGATGAATTCCAATAGCTTAATGGAACATGTATGTAATATGCTAACCCCTTAACAGCACATATGCTAATTACTCCCTAGCCGAAAATATGGTAAGATCTCCTGAACAGCACATATGCTAATTATTCTCAGCCGCTATATGCTAATTATCATGCAATGAACTTTTGCAGCACAATGGCGTGTATACCAACATGATTTAATGTCGTTAAACCAATCAGCCTACAGAAATTACTACTCAACTAAAACAGCCTTGCTCGAGGTTTTTTCTAATGTTTGCAGCCATTGATGGTCAAAAAATTACGTTACTAACATGGCTAGACACGAAGAGTTGTTCGTTTGACTGTATGGACCACAATATCCTACTCAGCAGTCTGAAATCTTTCAATGATATTTTAGGGGTGGTACTTCGGTGGATTGAGTCATTTTAACTAATTGGACGTTACAGGTAAGCTGTTCTGGAAAGGTTTCTAGTGTTGACTACCTGATATCTGGGGTACCTCAGGATTCTGTGCCGGGGCCCCTGTTCTTTTTACTGTATACAAGCGAAGTTGTTGCGTTAGCCAACAAGTTTGGTTTTTATTGTCACGAGTATGCTGATGACATAAAAATATGTGCCTCATGCTACCTGTCTCAGTTTTCAAATATGTCAGACAACTTGTTAGATGCATTAACGAAGTCAGTCAATGGTTGGGTAAAAATTGATTAAAGTTGAACCAAACAAAGATTCAGTTCATGCTTCCTGGCAGTAACTATCTCTAGTTAAGGAAATCTCTATCTGCTTATGAACTACTGATTCCATTTTTTGATGCGGCCTCAAATTTGGGTTTTATCTTCGACAAGCACTTGACAATGGATGAACATACTATGTATTTAGTCAAAAAAATGCTCTTTTCGACTACGTCAATTACGTCAAATTAAAAAAAGCCTTGACAAAAAATGGTCTACGTTTGTTGGTGCAAGCTTTGATTATCTCCAGACTGAATTACTGCAATAGTCCCCAGAGTGATATACTTACACATCATTACATAATATTTTTATGGCACAATAAATTTACAAAACCAGGTGGCAAAACTAATCATGGGTAGAATAAAATTTGGTCATGCTTCTCCGATTTTGAAGCCTCTGCACTGGCTCCTTATTAAGGAAAGAATTTTGTTCAAACTTGGAGTTTTAGTTTTCAAATGTATGAACAATTTTGCACGTGAATACTTAGCAAATAAATTTAATAGAGCTTCAATGATTCGTTCTCATCACAGTTTAAGGTCATCAAGCATGAACATCCTACATGTTAAAAAGATTAATTTGAAAACTGCTGAAGAGATTTTAAAGTTGCTGGATCGATATTTTGAAACAGTCTGGCAAATGTGTAAGACAACCTGATTTGACACTAGCAGAATTTAAGAAGTTGAAGACGTACATGTTCACGAACTTTTGCAAAGTAACCTAATAATAATGATTAATGTGCGCCAATGTAAATTCTGAATTATAATTGGCGCTATATAAATGTTGGCAATAACATATTATTCTATATATACCAGCTTAAGTGAAAAACAAAATATAGCTCTCAGGCCAATGATCATATATAAAAGCTAAATTTTAATCTGATTGTTGTTATTCAATCAATGGTCCACCAAACTTTTAATTAATGCTTACAGTTTAAAGTAATGAAGTAAATTGTCTGTTTTCAGGATACTTGGATGGCTTGCTAGATACAAAAGATTTACACCAACTGATATGCAACGATATCGCTAGTCTGTTGAAAGATGAATAAACGTTTGATACATTATATTGAGAGGAACACTTTAAAAGTTTTCAAATGTTTGTTGAGAAATATTTATATGGGAATATGTAGTATTTTTGTTTCAAGCTATAATAAATTTATGTACCCAATGTTTGAATTTTATTTATTAGTTTAATAACGACTAAAACAAAAGTTTATAATTTCTTTTTACCAAACGATTTTTTAATGATGAAACGTTATTTAAATATACTGTAATTGCTTTATTTGCCGATGCAAAATTCACTAAATATTTTTTCCAATACCTGGTCTGTGGTGACTTTTCCGGTTATGTAAGCTATATTCTGGAAGGCATTTCTTAATTCTTCAATCGATAACTCTAATCGAATGTCACATGTTTCACCTTTTCAAAATTGATATGTGTGTTAAACATTCACTTTAAATGATTTGACCAATTTTATTTCTTTTTACAAGGAAAGAATAGACGTTGACGAACGAATGTCCAAAAACGGCCAGTCTCGAAATACACCGGGTTTCGGGTAAAAACGATATTGGTACTAAAAATTTTCAGTGCCAACACCAATATAAATAAGTAATTCCCGTACTTATCGATTTGCAAATTATCGATAATTTATCGATATTGAATATAAATTCAATGTTTCAAAAAATTTGAAATTGTACAATAACTGAGGAATTAACTCACGTCTGGTATATTTTAACGTAATTTTTCTTGGTTCGCGTCGTCATATGAAAACACCATAATAATTTGGCGGAAATGGAAAAAAGGCGCAAATGGAACAAAAAAGAAAAAGTTGTGTTTCAGTCGATGAAGTTCAGTTATTAAATGAATTTTTGTTGTAAAGTGTGTTAGATATTAATATTACCATTACTGTCATGAAAATCACCGACGTTAAAGCTAGTCGATTTCAATTCTACCATGAACGTAATTCATTCTATCATTATAATCTCGGCTGCTATCAATAACAAATTTTATAGTTGCCAACATGTCGCAAGTAGGCCTACAATAAAGAAATGCTCAATTAATAAGAATATCAATTTAAGAGCAAAAATACTATAAAATTATGTTTTATAATTTACGCTAGAAAATTGGATTAAACTCATGAAGTTTTAGACTAGAATTACTGTATTATATTTCTCCCATTGAACGTTCGGCTCGAACCCAAAAAGCAAAGACGTCACGCATCCATTGTTAAAAAATTACTAATGCCGAGGTACTTCAGCAGGTGAAAATACAGTGCAATGCTTCCAGGTCAGCATTCAGATCAAATGCTTCTTTTCACTTCCTACATGTAACTCAATAATTACGTGACTCACGAATATTAAGGTGGTACGCTTGGAAGGTTGAGATAAAAATAAATTTAGAATATTTTTACTAAGAAAAGCAATCATATCGACTGATTTTAAATGTTTTTCAAGTATTTTTTATTTAGCAGTGGTATTCGATTAAAATCATAGGTTAAATTTTTAAAAAAATTTCTTGGGATAGAAACCCGGAGTAAGGTTGGAAAATTTTCAATGAAGAAGTTGAACACATTTTTATCCGACCACTGACACCCTACGTCAATAGGAAAAATGAAAATAATTTTTTGTTATCTAACCTTGATATTTATCCTTTAACACAATGGACAAAAAATTCTTCAAATTGTTACAAACAGCATTCAAGTGATGTTCATGACGAGCATTTATGAACGAAACATTAGTCTTTGAATTTGATTCCAAGCTGGTAATGCAAGGAATAACTAACAATAAATATTATTCGGCGAAATTTTTATTCATATCTAATAAAGACTCACTTCATTTTTACATTTTTCTGTAAAACTTTTTCAAAATCAAGTAAACCATTTTTTCTCAAGCATGATGCTAAACAGTATGTTGTCATTTTTGTTAGAGACGTGATTGATTCTGCGTACTGTGAAGTTGATGAATGGAGCTCTGGAGATGAAATCTGTTGGTTTTCAGGTAGTGAACTATCCAAATGTGATGTCGCTAATGTACAAAGTTTGGCAATAAGTGAGTTCATTCTAGTCATTTCATTTTCGCTAATCAAATCTGACTTGTTGAAGACAAGAATCAGGAATTTGTCTTTAAGCAAAGATCCTAAAAACAGTTTAAATTTTCAAAGAAAAAAGGTAACATTTGTAAACCCATCGTATCTATTACCCTTTAAATTAATTTCCTCTAAAGAGTCTACAATAAATTTATCTGACATTTTTGACAGTAAATCCAATTCATTTTTTGTGCCAATGATTGCTTCTGCAGAATATATAAATCTTCGTATTTTTTCATTTATGGTCTCCATCACTAACACTACGACATTTGCTTTATGGAAGCTAAATTGGTTGCATAATTTTAGAAAAACTTGAGAGAAAATGCAAAAATTCAACTAATTTAAATGCATCAATATAAAAATGAATACATAAATTTTTTAAATCAATCAATCAATTAATCAATCAATCAATCAATCAATCAATCAATCAATCATGCTCCTCTAAAGAAATCTTCAGGTCAAACATTCAAGTTTTGACTGCACCTCCACTGCTAGATCATTCAGTTATTATGCAGTTTCTTATATTCAAAATTTCAACGACATACAATAATGCATCTGACAATCTATTATATAATTAACACAAATTTTAAAAAGATTGCAATGTTTCTGATGCAAATGTCAATCAATCATTCGTTTAGCGTTCAGAGACCCAGTTCTCCGAGGTAGGACGTTGTTTTCTTTGCCATCAATTTTTTGCGCCAAATTAGACAATCAGTTGTATCCATTTCATTTAAATTTAGAGCTTTCGTGTCTTGCTCGATTGTTTGCGACCAGGACTTCCTTGGACGGCCTTTGGGACGTGTGCCAGGTACTTCAACATCTGCAAGAGAAGTTATGGCACTGTTTCCACTTCGTTTGACATGACCAAACCACCGCAGACGGTGTTGCCGGCATTCGTCCTTTATATCATCTAAACCAGCACGACGCAGGATTTCGGTAGATTTGATGTGGTCCTTCAGACTAACTCATTGCATCCATCGGAGCACTTTCATATCGGTTCGGTGAAGTTGTTGTTCCAGTTTGGTTGTCATTGGCCATGTTTCTGCACCATATAACAACACCGGACGTATCACAGATTTATAAAGTCTTGATCGTAGTGGTAGTGGGATGTCACGCCGCATCAATATAGAGGCAAGGAGATGTCATTTATTCCAGACTGCACGTATGCGTGTTCGAACAGCAGCTTCAGCTGTTACAGTACAATCTAGAACATCCCCTAGATATTGAAAGGATATGCTTTCTCAACCTTAATGGCTTCAAAAACATTGCTTTTCGTATTAGTTGTTGTGGGTTGATGCTAATGTCTTAAAAATAAAAGTTTTTCAAACAACATATAACCAACAAAGTAAAAACATTTGTTAAAAATAAATGACATTAAAATGAAAAAGTACCACTATGAAGAAAGTTGAATAAAGAGCAACAGTTACCAATCAACCGCTCTTTCGATACCAAGCCTTTCCACTTTATCAACAGTTTCTCTCATCCCGGCAGTATCACTAACAACCAACATGTAACCATCAACATTTACAGTCACTTCAATAATGTCGCGAGTTGTTCCTGAAACAAATATATATTTTTCACTTGCACCAATAGGAAAAACATGGTTTCATATACGAATGAGTTCCTAGATGTCAATGTTCAATATAAATTTTGGAAACTTATTTTTTTTAAGTTTAGAGCCGCTAAAATATAAAGAGATATTCAAATTAAACTCAGTTTGCCCCATTAACTATATGTTACATGCATTTTGTTTGTGCCAACGCAAAGTCTCAACGAAGTTTATACACCACTATATTCAAATGAAACTCAAATTTTACCATAGTCATTCGTTATTTCATCTTTTTAACCAGCTGAATAATTACATTGGATATTTGTCAACCAAGTTAAAACGCATTTATATTTATTATTTATGTAAGTAATGTGTGAATATTTGTAGATTTGAATGTAGGCTAGCGTTTTACAGGTTGTAGATTTATTTGTTAACAGGTAGGTAGGTATACATTATTGCGCTAAACAAGTGATAATATGCAATATGATACAAAGCGAGAAGAATTACGATTGTATCGCTTGAACTATCTGATTGGTGTTACTATCTCTACCTACTTCTCTAACTACTTCTCCATCACTTGCGAAGTTCAGAGCGGATCTCAAGACCCATCTGTTTTCAAAATTTATTGAGGAGCGCTGTTGAACATCGCGGAAATAGCGCTTTATAAGCTAATTGATTGATTGATTGAGATCGGTTGTAAGTAGTTACTAACTATAAATAGTTAAACTAGCAGTTACTGGCTATGGCTACTCACCAGCAAAACTGCAATTCGTTCACTAGTAGTTAAGCTGTAGTTCGTTACTACTTTTTTTCCGAGTAGTTTTTAACTACTAGTTTTAAAATTTTTTTACAGAATAAATTATTTTTTTTAAATTCCATAAAGTAGGCTACATCCCTACTTTTTGTATTTGTTTAAATTTTTCACTTCGGTTTCCTCTTGTTTTTAGAGTGATTTCAAACCAAATTTAAGGTTCTAATAAACATGGTTTCATACAACGATAGAAACTTCGCGACAATGTGCTTCACATGCAATAGAAGAATTTGAGAAATATCTCTAATTCTAATTCTTTCAACTTTAAAAACATGTAAGTAAAAGTATGTAAACAATAATAATAATTATCTAAATAATTTTTATGACTACTTTTTTCTTCGTTGGCAGTACAGTTTTTACAATCAAATGTCTTGAAAATAATTCGTGCAGATTGCATGCTACTATTGTATGTAGAGGTTATTGTACAGTGCCACAAATTTCTTAAGCTAATTTAAAATTGTAGAACAGGTTTTTGACAGTAGTTGTAGTAACAGTTTAAATACATTTATATGTACATATACATATATTAAATAAAAATGTTGAAGTAAAAGAAAAAAATGTAACTCTTATTTATAGGAACAGAATCCCCCAGTTTACAAAGCTTATATGTCAAAGCATAAAATCCAGCAAAAAAAGAAAGGTAGTAGAGACTGCTGTAACAAAAACATTAAAACAACTTGATATAAATAAGTCATTATCTGCATCAATCAATCAATCAAAATCAATCAATCAATCAATCAATCAATCAATCAATCAATCAATTAGCTTATAAAGCGCTATTTCCGCGATGTTCAACAGCGCTACTCAATGAATTTTGCAAACAGATGGGTCTTGAGACCCGCTCTAAACTTCGTAAGTGATGGAGAAGTAGTCAGCGAAGTAGGTAGAAAGTTCCAGAGAAAAGGGCCAGAAAAAGCAAAAGCAGATTTAGCAAAAGAGTTTTTAACACGAGTTAAGAAGAAGTAAGAACAAGAAGACGATCGTAAACCGGGGCGTTTAGGTTCAATTAATATATCTGATAAGTACTTTGGAAATAATTAGGATTTAGACTTAAACATAAATGTGCAAATTTTAAAAATTATTCTATATTTTATAGGCATCCAAGAAAAATTCACCAAAGCAGTGACAGAAATTGTTGTGGGTCATTGATGGCAGTAACAATTTGTACAATTATATGAAGGGTAATTTAAATTCAGGTCCGAAAATTCTTCAAATTGTATGTTTGAAAGTCAACTCATAATTACTTGACTAATCAGTTAACTATTATGCAGTAGTTAATAACTACTGCAAGTAAAAATAGTTGAAAAATAGTTATTAACTATTTTTTAAACATAACTATAATAGTTAACACAACACTGCTATCACGATCATCTTATTATTAATTACTTTTAAATTACCAGACAACAAGTACTATGATTGGAAAATTTGTTTTTCAAAAAATGTTAAGATGTGTGGTGCTTGCATAATCGCACATGTTTTCATTATATGTGTATGTTTGTATTTGCAATTATTTATAAAGATCACTGCGTTTTATGCATGACACTTGAGTGCCGAAAACGCAGTGATCTTTATAAATAATTGTATTTATGATAGTCTAAACCCAAAATAGTATTTGCATAAACCAATAGAAGTATAAATTCAAATTGTATTGAATTTAAGTTAATTTGTTGAGTTATTTAAGGATAGAGATGTAATAAAACAAAATTTTAGGCTGGGTTCGAGGCAAGTGTAGGCAAGCTAATAAAGCCATTGTCGCAAGTTATATTAAAAAATGTAACGAATGCTCAAACTCGGCATCGGTCTGATTCCTATTTTAAGATCTGGTTAAATCCGACTCCGGTCGGTTTGGAGATAATCAGATATACTACTAACGTTCCATGTAATTAAATGTATTCAACTTTACCACTATTTTTAGTTGAAAACACAAATTTTGATGAACATAATGAAATAGTAACTGCTTATAAACTCATAAAAATAGGTTTCGGTGTAGTTGAAGTTTTGGCCGAAACAAAAACTCCGGCCAAAACTAGATTATTTGGCGGAAACTACCCGAACCGAACCTTCGGTAGGTTTCTAGTTTTAGGTAACAGTACCAATTTAACAGCGTCAATAACAGCGTCAATAAATGATAGTGTGATAACTTGGTTTGAATGTTACTAAATACTACAGGAATCGGTGGTTCAAGTGTTGGTTCGAATATGATATGTGCATATGAGTATATTGCATAGAACTGCTACTCTTTGCAACTACTAGCAAAGAAGATAACTAAAAACAAGATATAACAAAATATTATAATAGTGATACAATATAACGATAAAAATGATATTTTCAAACTTTTTCTTATTGCTAAGATAGTATAGAGATATTTCCCTATACTTATGATGACGGAAATAACAATGGCCCTCAGTATCAGGCAGAAGAGGGTGCGAAAAATTTCCGAAGACCCAGTCCATGGGGTTGTGGTGCAAGGCCCTGTGGATGGTCTGGCTACTGGCACCCCACTCTATAGTGTGGCGGTGCAAGGCACTACAGATGGAAGGACTACTTGTAGACCAAGGGGTTGGAGGTTTGGTACCTGGAATGTAGGCACGTTGACAGGAAGAAGTTTGGAAGTGGTGGAGGAGCTGCAGAGGAGAATGGTTGACGTGGCTGCATTACATGAGATCAGATGGAAGGGTGAGGGTACAAGGTTTGTGGGGGCTAAAGGTGAAAGATATAAGTTGTGGTGGAAGGGGGATGATGGTACGGGAGGAGTTGGTGTGATGGTAAGAGAAGAGTTGGTGGAGAAGGTGTTGGAAGTGAGGCGGAGAAGCAATGGTGTAATTGTGGTGGTGATGGTGTTTGGAAAAGTAATAGTGAGAGTGATATCAGGATATGCTCCGCAACAAAGTAGGAAGGAAGAGGAGAAAGATAGATTTTATGATGGTGTTTCTGACGAGATTGGGCAAGCGGGGTTGGATGAGTTTGTGGTGTTGTTGGGTGATTTGAATGGTCATGTGGGGGCGGATGCAGACGGATATGAAGGTGTACATGGGGGATGGAGATATGGTATACGGAATGAGGAAGGGCGTAGAGTGTTGGAGTTGGCGGATGCACATAGCATGGTGGTGGGGAATACCTGGTTTACAAGGGAACCAGCGCGATTGATTATATATAAGTCAGGGGAGCATAGGTCAATGGTAGACTATATATTGGTAAGGGCCAAACATAGGAAGTATGTGAAGAATGTGAAGGCGATACCTGGTATGCTGCAGCATAGTATGGTTGTGATGGATGTGACATCAAAAAAAATGGGGAGGAGGAAGAAGGATAAGTTTGTGGCAAAGAGAAAGACATGGAAGTTACAGGATGCAGAGGTGAGGAAGGCGTTTGAAGTGAAGGTGGCTGAAAATTGGGACTATGGTAAGGATGGAGATGTTTGGGAGAGATACAGGAACTGTGTGTTGGCTACGGCAGATAAAGTATGTGGATGGACGANAGGAAAGTGTAGGCATGGTGAGACGTGGTGGTGGGATGAAGACATAAGAAGGGTTTTGGAG